GAATCATCCTCGATGTACATTCAAATTGCATCGTGTAAATTCGGCTTTAGCTACAGGGTGTCGAAGTTTTAAAATAAAATATGTTTTTCCAAAAATCTAGATTTCCACTTGAGGGAATTAAATGAAATTTGGCCAACTAACTATTTACAACCTAATACACATTCCTAGATATTATTATGTTGAACATGGATTACAGGACCGGACTTACTTGCATGCCCTTGAATTTAATCAAAGAAAAAATTGGTTCTTCGTTGAAATTTCTAATTTAAATGTGCTCTGAAATTAAAATTTTGGGACACTCAATATTTCCTATAAAATGTTATATTATGTTTATCGAGTTGTTTATTGTAAATACTATGTTTACAATATATAATTAATCCTAGATAAATAAATAATTGTTTATATTAGGTACATTTAAAATACTGAAAACTCCAGGAAAAACGAAAAAATAGTGACTCAATTTTTGATCAAAATTGAGCTAGAATTTAACCTACGTAATTAATTATAAATTAGAAATCTTAACGGAGAACCAATTTTTTCTTTGATTAAATCCAAGAGCTTGCAAGTAAGTCCAGTCATTCATGTTGAAAATAATAATACCTAGGAATGTGTATTCGGTTGTATATAATCTGTTGTCCAAATTTCATTCAATTCCACAAGTGAAAAATTTAAATTTTTGGAAAAAACATTTTATTTTAAAACTTTGACACCTTGTAGCTAAGGAACGAAGGGAAATCGGACCCATATTGATGTGAAACAATAATCTTGTTTTTAGGTTAGGAATCTGCCCCCGAGCGTTGGCCCATGTTTTCTGAAACACCCTTTATAAATAATTTAAAATTGTAGCTGATTGATGACAACCAATAAGTACAGGGTGTCTCAGTTTTAATCGGAAAACTTTTATAGTCGATAGAACTCACACAAATAAAAAGAATGTTCATATGTTTTAAAGCTTCGTTTTCGAGATACAGGATGTTGAAGTTAATTAAAAAAACTTTTTTCAAATATCTCAAAAAATACTTAGACTCAATTTGATGTCATTACATTTAAATTAATTAATTGTTCCAAGGGCGGCGCTAAGGAATTATAATAATTGGATATTTTATTGACAAATTTGAGCAAGCCACTCTTTTTTATAAGTTTGATATTATTTTTAAATTGAGTAATTTAATATGCAATTGTTTTGTCTCTTGCATTAATGTCTGTCTTATTTAGTTTTTGAGAAAAAAAAATATCCGCTCGTTCCCGGGAAAATAAATTAATTTCATTAATAATATTAAATAATAAAAAAGACAAATCAGTTTTTAGTTACTACCTTACCTAAAAATAATATCAAACTTGTAAAAAACTGTATCGTGCCCAAAATGTGCTATAAAATATCCAGTTATTATTCCCCAGCGCCGCCCCTGAAATAATTGCTTTAAACCTTTTTGCATCAAATTAAATCCCATAGTTATTACTAAAAATGTACCAAGTTCTATCAAAATCAACCTGGTAGTTTTTAAGATATTTAGAAAAAGTTTTTTTATTCACTTTAACACCCTGTGTACAATACAAGTTCATGCGGATTTTTCTTTTATTTTTGCGCGTTCTATCGCCTAAAAAATTTTCACGATTAAAACCTCAGACATCCTGTACATTTTTAGATTATTATTTTTATTATTATTTTATTACATAATTAAAATTTTATTTTCATATTACAGAAATGAAAAACTAATTATGTTTTCAAAACAATTTTTGAAAATTACAAATATCTTATTTGTAAAAATATTTTTGTACATGTTTCTTATAATAATTAGGTGGATAAGTACAAAAACTGCCATTTAGAAAAAAAATTAAATTTACGTACCATGTACCATATGTTAATCTTCATTGTTAAGTCACTTATTAAACAAAACTATATTGTGACCCTTTACTCAACACCACTACTAGGTACCTACAGAAACAACCTGTTCAGACACCTTGCAGTTCAGACAGAATGTATTTAAAAATCAGTGTCTGTGACTCCCTTCATAGTTTTTTAACCCTAGACTGTTGGAATTCCATACCCTTCCCCCTTCCGCCTCGCTCGGCCCGGCCCATAAACTTCAGAGGTTTATTTGAAGGGTGCAATGCCTCTATCTGTACCTTTACCTATAGAAAGTAATTCTGATAGTTTCGGATGTCGGACTTATTCATATCTTTTCTATTGGGCTCGATATTTATGTCCAATTTACTATCTTCAGAACCGTCCAACTAGTTATTTTAATACATTTTAATATTTCCAGTTTTTTTCTCTTGATTCCCGATCCTCCAATCGTTTAAGCCGACGTTCACACTAGAGAGAATAATGTGCGGTATTTAAATTTTTAATTCTTCTTATCTCCCCTTACATCTTCTGGGCTTGTAGGAAGAATTCTTTAAATGGAGTTATATCACCTCTTGTGTATGCATTAACATAAAACTGTAAATATTTTTTAACGACTAGTAAGTAACGGCTTTGCTCCTACTATTTTACATTTTTAGGGCTACATACTCAGATAATGGTAATGTAGTAAGAAGTTTATAAAACAATTATTGTTTTTATTTATAAATTATTTCACTTTGAGCATAAAGCGATTGCGCAGGACGCTACAAGGATTTTATAGTGGCGCAAATAATTTTATAATACAAAAATTAGAAAATATATCGAATAAACTGTTTAAACAATATACTCATAGATACCTACTATCAGGAATAACTTTTCATAGAAATACCTAATGTAAGGTATATTAGTAAAAAAAATTATTAAAAGTAGTTTATGTAAGTACGTTATTTTCCTTCACAAACTCAATTTTAGATTTTTTTTAAATATTGATTGTTGAATATTTGACTGCTAAAAGGGAGAAGTAACCGGAGAAAACCGTCACCCAGTATATCAATTAAGACTAAAGTTTTAAGAAATAATACGCCATAACAGTCCAAATAAATGTCCCAAATTTTAACGTGATCGGTAAAAGGGTTATGAAGTTATTAATTAAATTATTTTTATTTTTGACAACTTTGGAGGCCTGTAACTCAAAAACCAAAAGGATTTTATTTAACTTTTTTTCGTAGATCGTATTTATTTATCATCGTGAATATGCAGTCAAACGTTGTCGGTGAAATTTGCGGACACCCTGTATATCAAAAATATCAAGGTAAATCCGTTGAGGCATTTTGCTTACGTATTATGTACATTTTTAAAGTGAGAAATATTGACAAATAATTTAGTCACTTCAACGAAATTTAAAAACTTTGATGAGTTGCTCTAATCAAATCATTATTTGGTACTAAAATTATTATGCTGTTTTCATTTGTGCTGCGATTGATTCCAAGAGAATAAATATAAAATAATACGATAATTATTATTAATTTATTGTATTATTTAAAGCATTTTACGAATTGTTTTTAATTTTCAATATAATAATAATAATTTGTATTATTAATCAAAAGTTGCGGTATAAAATATGGTTACCAGATCCGATTTTATTATGGATATTTTTCAATTCTATACATATTTGTTGCAAATTCCATGTGGTCTGTGAAATAATAAAGGCAATTGTCACTACTACTAAATAAACAATTTCTTTAAAAGTAATTGTGAAATTTTTTCGGCATAAATCATAATAGCTAATAGGTTTAAAATTCATTGTTTCAAATCAAATGCGATTGCGCTTAACCGTTACAAATTGTTTCTAATGCACTAGGAACAAAACTAATAGTTTTGTTCCTAGAGCAATCCAAAACAATTTCCAACTATCAAGGTCATATCAAGATCAAGTCGGTTTTTTTAAATAGCGACCCTACTTTTCAACCCCAGAAATAGAAAGAACAGAAAATTCTGCTTCCGTATATGACATTGACAGGGTTCATAGTATCTGGAATACCGGGAAAAGACAGGGAATTCATTATTCTTCATACAAAACAGAATAGTCAGGGAATTTTAAAAGTATTCATGAAAGTCAGGGAATTTGATGTTTGCAACTGGAAATTTTTTGAAAACCGGCTCTCGGTTCTTGAAAGAGAAAACTATTTGTGATTTGGAAACTTTTATAAGAGGTTCTTTGGGTATAAAAAAGATTATGGAGTTCAGTCTAGAAAAAGTGTAATTCATAAACACCAATTAGTGTGTAAAAATGACCTGCAAGTGACCTGAATTTTCTTTTATAAGTAAAGGAAAACCTGGAAAACTTTGACCTCAAGGTCAATGGTCAAGGTCAGTTCTACGTCAAAACTTGATTTTTCTGATATTTTTTTTATTTTTAACAACGGAATCAGAGTGAGTGACATTTTTTGAGTAGATATCTGATGGTACTCCTTAGTGACCTTGATCTTGAGTTCAAGGTCGAAAATACATGTCAAGGTCATATTGGTTTCTGGAGTAGCCACCCCTTAATTCGACACTAAAAATAAGAGAGCGTACAATTCTACATGTTATTGTTATCTTAAACGTGACCTTAAGGTCAGTTGTCAAGGTCAGGTAGAGGTCAAGTGATTATTCCGGCTGTCATTTTTTATTTTCGAAGATGAGATAGAAGGGACACAATTTTTTAGTGACATCAAGGTCATTAAGAAGTACCATCAGGTATCTACTCAAAGATACTACCTCCCATTCCGCGTAGTTAAAAATAAAAAATTACAACAAAAATCAACATTTTGCCATTGATTGAACTTGACCTAAGCCTTGAGGTCACTGTAAATGTCATATTCGGATGCAGAATTGTCGGAAGAGGGTCGCTATTTTAAAAAAAAAACAACTTAATCTTGACATGACCTTGACCTCAAGGTAGCGCCGTGAAAAATGCTGAGACTTCGCCACCATTTTTGGGGTTTTCATACTTTTGACTAACCCTGTATAAGGTTTTTGGAAACTAATAAGAATAAAAGATTGTGTACATTTTTTATTTTAGTAAAATTTAATTTTTTGTTTCTTTTACTTTTCAATTTTTTTTTATTTTTTGAACAAATCGGTTATTAAAATGCGGAAATTTTCTTTTCAGGAGCAATATGATTCATCTACTTACGCCACCCCTTCCTACATGGATCCAAGCGTCATAAATTCCAAGATTACCGTTAAAGCTCTGTACGATTATAGAGCGCAAAATTGTGATGAACTTTCTTTTTGTAAGCACGCAATCATTACAAACGTAACGAAACCGGAAGATGAATGGTGGAAAGGCGATTACGGTGGCTTGAAGCAGCACTACTTCCCGAGAGTATACGTGAAGGAAATAGAACCGAACGAACCACAAGAAATGGATGAAAACGTAAGTTAAATTTGCTTGTTTGGATGGGCCCAGCTCACTATGAATCTCATTTGCAGTCGGGTGAATCGATGTTCCAGGGCAGTTTGGACATGAAAGGGGCCGTCGTCGATATAAGACACAATCCTGAATGTCCTGGCATGGAGTGGATTATAAGGATCGTTACTTCTACTGCCTGTACTGCTTTTGAATGTGCGGTGGAATCGGAAGATTTGGTAAGTTTTGATTAGGTTTTCTTTAATTTTTATAATCTTTTTCTTTTCTTTTTAATATTTATTTATTTATTATTGAGTATATATTTTTTAATATTTTGTTAAGAATTTTTTTTTATCGAAACTACATATTAAGATATTACAGTTTCACTTAAGCAAAAATAATCTCAATGCTAATGTAACATTTTATTTATTTTTTTTGTTCTTCGACATTTCTGAAATATTTTATGTTTGTCTTCTAAATATGGCAATTTTTAAAAATCTTTATTAAATAAATTCAATTAACAAGGCCCTGGAATGGTATTCGAGCATACAGCAGGTGATCCAGAGGGCCAGTCGCCTGGAGAACGAACACCGCGAATTGGAGAGGACGAAAAAGATAGCAAAAGAAATGTCGAACCTCATTATCTACTGTAGATCCGTTAATTTCAACTTAGAAAAGGCCAAACAGCAAGGTTTTATATTCTACGAAATGTCCTCTTTCCCCGAACACAAAGCGGAAAAGATCATCTGCCAACAGGAGAGGGAATTCTTCTTAAAATACCACCAGATCCAGTTCTCCAGGGTGTATCCCAAAGGGCAAAGATTCGACTCGTCCAATTACAATCCCATAAACATGTGGAACTGCGGGTCGCAGATGGTGGCTTTAAATTTTCAAACGGGCGACAAGCCGATGCAGCTGAACCAGGCCAAATTCCGGGATAACGCGATGTGCGGTTACTTATTAAAGCCAGACTTCATGTTCAGAGAAGGCTTTGATCCCTTCGAGAAGAACACCCTGATCGATGTAGAGCCCTACACCGTTTCCATAAGGATAATAGCGGGCAGGCATTTGTGTAGATCTAAAAGGGGGATCGCCAGTCCATTCGTCGAGGTGGAAGTTATCGGTGCGCCGTTCGATTCTGGAGTGAAGCTCGTCACAAGGCGAATACTGGACAATGGGTTCAATCCAAAGTGGAACGACGAAGCTTGCGTATTTGAAGTAGCTAATCCCCATTTCGCATTGCTGAGATTCGTTGTTCAGGACGAGGATGTGTTTGGTGAACCAAATTTTATAGGCCAAGCTACTTATCCAGTAAGTAACCGCTTCTTATAATTAGTTACTTCTTGTGTTTAGCCTTAATCCTGATGGCAGAAAAAAACCTTATTGTAGAAATTAAACCAATAAAATTCACGCAGATATTTGACAATGAAGACACACAAACACAATGTACCGGCACAAAACACTGAAATAAATATCTATATAAGCTAAGCACCACTTTAAATTTGAGTTCCAATAAAAACCAAAACTTCGTGCAGAAAGTCGGTAAATTACACAGGTCCACAAACAGAAATCGATCCCAGTGTCCATATGACCCCATCATGTCTAGATCAAGGTTAAATGAAGGTCAAACACATTAACTCGAATGATACAATTTTTTTGACCCCGGATTCTGAAAGAGTGGAAAATATTACGTCCGAATATGCTTCCACCTGTTGATCGAACCGACCTGTGAAGGTCATTTTCATGTCATGTAGAGGTCAGATTCTTCTTTTGATTTCGCGGCTGATATTTGAGCTAGGAATGGGTCTTGAACCAGTTGACCTTTATGTTTTTGGTGTCACTGATTACGATTGTGGTCTCCATATGATCAAGGTCAAATGAAGGTCAAACACATTAACTCGAATGATACAATTTTTTTGACCCCGGATTTTGAAAGAGCGAAAAATTTTACACCCGAATATGCTTCCACCTGTTGATCGAACCGACCTCTGAAGGTCATTTGCAGGTCATCTAGAGGTCATATCCTTGGGTCTCGAACCAGTTGGCCTTCCTGTTTTTGGGGTCGCTGATTACGATTCTGGTCCCCATATGACCACATCACGTCCAGATCAAGGTCAAATGAAGGTCAAACATATTAAATAGAATGATATAATTTTTTTGACCCCGGATTCTGAAAGAGCGGAAAATTTTAATTCAATGTGTTTGACCTTCATTTGACCTTGATCTAGAGGTGACGGGGTCATATGGACATCGGGATTGTAATCTCATTACGCCGAATTACCATTCGCCATTTGTTTTTTGTATGCCTAGCGCCTTGTCGTCATATCACATCAGGTGGATTGATATTATGTAGTTCACCTGTCAGTGTCACTAATTTCCGACACAGATTCACAAACTAAACACAGTGCTTTGAAAAATTGGTAACAAATATTTTTTATTAAAAATTTGAAATGATTTTAAAACAATATTTCAAATCAAAGATTAAGATTAAGAATTATTTTTATTTTTTATGTACATTTTATAAAATAGCAGAAATTATTGTGTTAAAACTAATTAGATTTACCTACAATTAGTAACATGTGCCTATCTGCAAACTAATATACAGGGTGGGCCAAAAGTACCGGAATGGCAGGGGGGTAAAAGAAAACCACTAGGGGTTTAGGATTTTTCCCTGGCTATCCGATGGTGACCTTGAATTTGACCTGGACCATGACCTTCAAGGTCATATCAAGGCCATGAGAATTTTTTTAAATGAGGCCCCATAGTTTGGACCCCAGAAATGAAGAGAGGGAGAGGTGAATTTTACATTCGGATATGACCTTGAAATGATCATGAAGGTCGAGATCAAGGTCAAATATCAAAAAGTCCCAAGTACCGGAATGGCAGATTAATCCGCCAGGAAAAATGTTCTCCACAATAGTTCTAAGATTCTTGATGGTTACTAAACCGGTGACCTTGGATTTGACCTCCGCCCTTATCCTCTGGTCACTTCAAGGTCAAGTTGGTTATTGTGTTACCCTCGATGACTACTATTAACCACCCAAGACCGTCTATTACCCTTGATGACCACTGTTGATTTTCAGTAACCCCCTTTTGCCTTCGGTGACCACTATTGACCATCCATTATCTTCGATATTTGACCTTGACCTTCATGGTCATTTCAAGGTCATATCCAAACGTAAAAATTTCCGCTCTTCATTTTCGAAGTCAAATCTATGGGGTCCCATTTACAAGAATTCGTCTGACCTTGATATGACCTTGAATATCATGATCCAGATTAAATTCAAGGTCACCATCGGATAGACAGCCAGGGAAAAATCCTACACCCCTAGTGCTTCACTTTTACCCTACCCCTTGAATATTCCCAGATATCCTGCCATTCCGGTACTTTTGGCCCACCCTGTATAATATATTGTGTACTTGTACTTATTGTAGATGTGTGCACTTGTCGCTTTCAGTATCTCGTATCATGTTCTCTGTTCGTGTCTTCATGCCTGTTTAAAATCGACCCCTTTGTACAAAAATACAACAGTAGTTAAAGTACAAATTGCTTTTTGCATTTTATTTATTTATTTATTAAAATAACTTAAGGCGAGATAATTACTTATCAACAACCTGGGCAAGATTTGCACATTTTTTGCAAACAATATTTATATACTCATTCATTAGCAGAACCATGAACCTCAGCAGAACACGGAGCGATATGTTTGGCCTTAATTTATATTTAATCAAATGGTTCAACTATTAAATACGGAATACCCATCATTCTGCCAATTACGTTTACATTATAAATGTGTTCCCGGCTCCACTGTTCCGCAGTTTCGTATCCGTGTTTCAATGTTCCCCACGCACTAAACTGTATTTAATGCATCGTATCTCACCGACCTGTATGGAGCACAAGAATCAATTGAGACCGCTTCACTTCAATTCATCCTCAATTTGCATTGATGCGGTGATGAGATAATACGGAATTATTTTTGTATCGGGATCCGCACGAATCGATTCCCACTAAAGTTCCGTGCGATTTATATGTAGATGCAGATCTTGCCCACCTCTCGAATACATTATTATTGAATTTAGACAATAAGTGAAACTGATTAACATAATAAAACATATTTCTTACAGGTCACCCGTCTTCGAACAGGTTATAGAAGTGTTTGGTTAAAAAATGCTTATAGTGAAGATTTAGAACTTGCGTCGCTACTTATTCACATTAGCATTAAAACCAAATTAGCTAGTTAATATGTTACTTCCGTAATATTTATAATGTACTATTTATTGTCACGTCGTCATCATTATGTTGTTTCACATTGGCTAATTTGAACTAAAACCGTGGATGCGTAATAAAACAACATTAAAAAAAAAGTTAAATTTAGATGTTCATACCTAGCTTTAATTTATTTAAGCGTAACCAATCATTAGTTTTAGAGAAGTGGCTTCTACGTTTCCATTTCATGTGTGTCTTGAGTCTCGTAAAATTTATTATTGGATATATATATACAGGGTGTTGCGTTTTTTATTCGTTTTGGAATTATTTTTAAGCCATATCCTCTTTAATACAAATGTTTACTAGTCTGCTTCGTCGTTTTTTTTTAATGTTGTAGAATTACATGATAATAGAGTAAGACCTAATTTTTACATTAACTTTCAACTTCTTAAAAAATCACTACAGGCCTTCCAAATAATTATGTTATTCAAATTGTTTATTAATTATTTGTTACGAAGTATGTTTTTGTATTTTTTGTGTTGACAAATCTCCAAACGTTATGCCCACGGAAAAAGAAAAATGTGTCGTCTATTCTGTTGTAATCAAAAAGTAACATCCATAATTTACGAATTTTAGAATACTAGACGGCGTTTTTTAATTCATGACAGAAAACACAGTGTATTGCGGGTGCCAACTATTTTTGCCCTGATGACAATGTTTTATTTTCTATTTTATTTTTTCTATTCGGAAACTGTATAGTTAATCTTACAACTTCTTTGTCCACTTTTCACAAAGCTACGGGTTTCTTTATGTCAGAATGTCACACTGCTGAACGCCACGCAGACTGTGTTCTGTTTGCCAAAGCCTTAAGGATATGTGGCCAATCTATTTTTATTTAAACTAATAATGTTCAAATAAAAAGTCCCGTCGCCATTTTCTCCGAAACGGAAAGAAATATTTTAGTTTTGTACACATGGTTTTGTAGACTGGCTAAATAGCTTCAATTCTACACTGTAACTATTACTATGATTATTGGCACATAGATTGTGGTGCCAAACCATTTTCAATCCCAGAAAACCTAAAATCGAGGCTATTTTGGCAGGTCCAACAAACTGTGTTTACAAAACTAAAATATTCCTTTCCGTTTCAGAAATACGCCAAAGGAGATACCATCTCTTTGTTTGTTTGACGAGAAACAAGGATGCGTTGCAATTTCAAAGCCGTTAGTTAAACTAGACTGACACATTTTTACTTTAAAGTGGGCGTAGTACCTAATAATAAGCATTATGATGAAATAAATGTTGAAATTGTTAGATAGTCTATGAATATTAGTGATGTCTTCTATAAATCGTTTGAAGTAGGATTCGAAACATATCATATATAAATGAAATATTTTATATAATGTGCTATTAAGAACTCTAAAGTATTGTGTACTGCATTTATATTTTTATTGTTGTATGTGTATTATTAGTAAAAAATGCAATTGACAAAATCGTTCTTTTATTTTCTCCTAATGCTACTACGAGCGTCGGTCAAATACCAGGGGGTCCGTGGAAAGGTTCCATCTGGAGTATTATGAAAACTACTAATTTCCTACAGAAAGAAAAAAATTACAAAAATTGCTTTTCCCGTACTATTTTAACCCGTTAACAGGTTAAATGAATATCAAAAAGTGTAAAAACACGGTCAATTTCAATTTTTTACTAAGACTGAATTAATTTTGAGGGATTTACAATAGATGGCGTCACTTATGCTGCATCATTTATGTCAGACACTTATGCGTATCGGATACTTTTGTAACCATAATATCACTCGCCATGATTTAAAAGCAAGGAAACTGAGTGTCGTACAAATTGATGACGAGAGATGTTGATTTTATACATGTGAATAATTGCTTCCGCTGCAAAACAAAAGTTTTTTTTGCCGCGGTTAGTAGGATAGTAGGGTTTGCCTGGTCATGCATCAACATCGACGGCAAAGCCGAATATTCATGGTTGGAAGCTCATGCTCTACATTTTGTGGGATCAATTTGGTGTTGTGTAGTATGAGCTGCTTCAACCGAATGAAACCATCACATGGTGAACTCTACCAAACACGATGCATTGGAGCCATGCGCTGAAGGAAAAACTACTTAGAAATGCTGAAATGGGATGTTTTGCCCCATCCGCCGTATTCACCAGATATAGCTCTATCAGATTACTGCTCGTTTGGGTCCATAGAACACAGCCTGGCTAAGTAGCGCTTCCAGTCTTACGACGAAATGAAAAATTGTGTCGATTGGTGGATAACATCAAAAGATGAGTTGTTCTTTCGATGCGGAATCCGTATGCTGCAGAAAGATGGGAAAAAATAGCGATGGGCAATACTTTTAATAATATATACAATTTTTCATAATAAATCCTTGAATTTACAAAAAAAATTTAAAGTTAATTCAGTCCTAGAAAATTTAACATCCTGTACATTTTTACATATATTTCTATAGAATCTTTCATCTTCCTAATTGTTGCTGCATTCTGTAAGTTTCAAAAAGTGTTTAGGTATTGAAATTTTATGTAGGTAATTTTTTTCTATAATCAAACCAAAAAGTGTTTAGGTTTTGAAGCGTTTTTTTTTATAGGCCTCCATAGGCCACTCCTAGCAAAGATAGATCTATCTTTAATAAGATACATCCATAAATGTGTTGTAAACATCTCTATAAGGGATGCTTATAGCACACTATTTGCCAGACCTCCCTCATTATTAGACGTAGGCCTATCATATCACCATAACCTTTAGAAAAAGCTCTTAACAGGCTAGTTTAAAAGTAATACAGAATTCCCTGGCTTTTTCAGGTTTTCCTTAACTTATAAAAAAAAATCCAGGTCACTTATAGTTCATTTTTACAGACTTTTTCTAGATTGGACTCCATAATCTTTTTTATATTCAAAGATCCTCCTAAGGTTTCAAAACCACAAATAGTTTCTCTTTCAAGAACCCAGGGCCGGCTTTCACAAAATTTCCAGTTGCAAACATCAAATTCCCCGACTTTTCTCTGTATTACCAGTTTTCCAGGCCACTACGAACCCTGTCTAATATATTTAAAAATATCCCGTATTCCATTTAAAAAACCGAAAGTGAGTTTCGTTTCTATAAATGTTTTCATTTATTTTTTTCGATAAACTTAAAAAATAGTTTTGGGACAGCCCAAAAACCTTTATGTTAACACTACATATTAAATATATTCCATTTATGACAATTTCAAGATGGCTATATGAAAAATGTTGTCAAATGTCTTCAAATTTTAGCCATTTATGAGAAAACCATAAAAACAAATTACTATTACGCTAAAAGGATCAGATGGAAAAATGCTCAAATAAATATAGAAGAGTCTAAAATTATGCGACAAATAACTAACCTCCAAGGGAGTAACCGCTCTCCTCAATACATATACATTTCTGCAAGAAATCATTTGGAATCACACAGAAATCGTCCCTTCAAATGCAGTACCGAAGGGTAAATTAGGAGAATAGGTCACTTCAATTTTAGAATTGCATTGCTCGTGTAAGTAGCGAAGTGCATTAACCTGAGGAAAATAATAAACTGCTGGCTCTTTTTTCTTTTGTTGCAGACAACTGTCTTTCTGAACCATTATGTATAGTAATGTTCAGTGTCTGTAATCAATTTCTCGATTAGGAAACTAATGTGAAAAAATGTTTATGTTCCAAATTTTTCACCAATCTATTCACTGTCGTTTCACTGGTACTTTTCATATGCACTACACTGTAGACTGAGCGGCTGAACCAAGTTAGAATTTTGTTCCAACATATCATGTGTTGGTACTATTCATTTATATCAAAGGTTCCCTAAATAACCAAACCATTTTTTTAATAATTATAATTTCATAATAATAATAATTTCATAAAATTTGGAGTTTTCGGATATTAGAGTATGTGAAACAATGCTACATTGTTGGATTTTCAAAAAAAAAATTATGGCTATTTCTTGAAAATTGACTTGAAAAAAAACCAACATACAATGCGGAGTTATGTCCGTCTTTAATTTAGTCTTCATAATGCATACAAAATGGTCCAAAAATGGTATATCAAACTATTTGTTTTAAATGTAAATCCCTATTTTAGTCATAAAATCAGTTTTTTAAAAAAATAAAATTTACAATTTCATATCAATTAAATTTTGTATAAAGAATTATGTTAATATTTGTTGAAAAATACCTCACCAACTTCTCCACAATACCCAAGACAATAACCAAATTCTTGAAGAACTTTATTTCAAACATTATTTATTTATTTATTTATTTATTTATTTCACTACATATCCAACAGGCAAATGCCCAGTTATAGGATACAAAGTCAATGTAGTAGTACAACACACAACGCATTCGAAAATATATGTCAATAAATAGAATTAATAATACCTAATAAATGAACATGGCAATAACATAATATAATATACATACACAGAGAAAAATATACATTAGAATAGCAAAACTATGGTAGATATAGAATATATAAAGTCATTACACATAAATAAATACCTAAAAATATCGATACATATTCACGCACATTCACTTATACATATAGATAAACACGAATCAATAAAATAGTAAAAACAAAAATAAAGTATTAAAACTATAAATTAACAGTAAAGAATCCGCTTTTTAATTTCATTAATAGTGCAAGAAAATATATCTAACCTGTCCTCAACATTGCAATAGTTGACAATCATCTGATATAAAGGAGATGCTTTCATAATGTTAGTTCTTACAGTGGGTAACTTGAATATATTATTTTCACGAGAAGCAAGCCTAGGAACTTTGATCTGAATTTTGTTGAGTAACCAGGTGCAATCAATTAAGTTGTTTAATATTTTATGTAAAAAGACAATTTGATGTGTAGTTCTGCGTGTTTTTAAATCATTACAATGAAAGCGATCAAGTAGTGCATTATGTGGATATCCTCTTTCAGGATATATTCCGTCAAGCTTAAATGCGACAAATTTAAAAAAATTTCTTTGAACTTTTTCCAAAGATTCAATGTGTGCACTATAAAAAGGACTCCAGACAATTGATGCGTATTCCAATTTTGACCTAACAAAAGATTCATAAAGTAATTTCATAGTATGTATGCTGTGGAATCCTCGAGAAGAACGTATAATAATACCTAAAGATTTATAAGCAGATGATGCAACCATGTCAATGTGTTTTATAAAATTTAATTTCGCATCGAAAACAACACCAAGATCTTTTATGTACTGAGGCCTTTGCAACATAGAACTATCAATGTTATAGTTATATTTAATGGGGTTAATTTTACGTGTAAAAGACAGTACATTACATTTTTCTGCATTTAGAGGTAATTTATTTTGGTTGCACCAAACAGCTACCACATTTATTGCTTTTTGAAGTAGAGCACAATCAGATTCAGATCTAATTTCTGTGAATAATTTTAGATCATCAGCATACAACAAACAGTGTACCCAATTAACATTCGCAATTATGTCGTTAATAAACATTACGAACAATAACGGGCCCAAAATAGATCCTTGTGGTACACCCGATCTCTACTGAAACTTTTCAGATTTATACCCCCGAAATTGAACAAATTGGTATCTATTCTGCAGATACGACTTTAACAAATTAATCATTGGTATGCTGAGATCAAACGCTGTTAATTTATCCAATAAAATTCCGTGGTCGAGTCTGTCGAACGCTTTAGAGAAATCAGTATACACAACATCCACTTGACTCTGACGGTCAAGCTTTTCAGCTATGTATTGACATTTTGTGACCAAGTTAGTAACCGTTGATCTGTTCTTCATGAAGCCATGTTGTTCAATCGATATTGTATTTGAAACCCGACTGTAAATGAAGTTATGAAGAATAATTTCAAAGACCTTGGCAAAGTTACAGATTATACTAATAGGCCTATAATTGGTAAGTTCAAGTTTTTCACCTTTTTTATAAATAGGGCATATTCTGGACAGTTTCCAAAGATCGGGAAAATAACATGAATTAAGGATTAAGTTAAAAATAAACGCAAGTGGTTCCGCCAGAGCAGTAGCACAATCTTTAACCAAAAATGAAGGAACTAAGTCTGGGCCCATAGTCATAGTAGGTTTAATTCTTTTAATGGCATTAATAACATCAGTTTGACTAATATAAATATTTGATGATGCTGATGAAAAGATAGAATTATTAATAATCATGCTTGGTACCGTAAAGGATTTGGAAAAATAGTCAGCAAAACTATTAGCTATCAATTGGGGATCGTCAATTAAGTCATCATTATATTTCAGTATCTGAGGAAGAGGTGCTAAATTAAATTGGGAATTAAAATAAGTCCAGAATTTCCTTGGATTTGATTTTATATTAAATTCAATATTGTGAAGATAGGCTTCATGCGCTAATCTAATATCAAATTTTACCTGTGATCTAAGACGTTTAAATGCATTCAAATCATTATCGTTATTAAATTTTTTATACCTTCGCCAACAAGAGTGCTTTTGTTTAATATTATAAATAATATGACCATTAAACCAAGGAGGGTAGGATTTCGTTGTAGGTTTTTTCATGGGAATATTATCATAAAATATGTCCTTCAACTTATTATTAAATGACTCGACTGCGTTATTTGGATCTCCATGCTCTCTAAGAAAGCGCCAATCAGTATTAGCAATATCTTCATACAAGGTCGGAAAATTAGCTCTTTTAAAGTTAAAATCATTGGATGAATTAACAACGTTAATATGTTTAGGTTTGCTAATATCTACATTGACTAACAGTGCCGGATGATATACATACATTATTAACCATTGACAATAAAACGGCAGTTTAATGCAAAACAATTCAATTTAGATAATAAGGATAAAGTAGTAAATCTGTAAGCAATCGCTGGTAATCGGAGCAGTTGCAGGAAAATCCTTTCCGCAATATACCCATGTTAAATTTTTTGGAGTATTAATATTACCCCTCGCTAAATTCATTCCCATTCCAATATTACCCCTCGCTAAAGTCATTCTTAACTGAACTATTTTTTATGGATAAATGCGTGAGGTAAAATAAAAGAATTTTTACTAATTACTATTTATTCATTTTCATCTACATCAGGGTCCCTCTGAACTCCTAACATTATATACAAATCAGCGGGTCTTCGGAAATACCTATCCACTAAAATAAGTTTTTGTTCGTTCTTTATTAAATATCTTCCATCTTTCCATGGCAGAACTCCTGTTTCTGGTAAAGGAACAACATCTCCTATTTTACATACCAGCTTCCTTTTGGAAAATGGATAATTTCCATGAAATACAAATATATATTTCTTTTGTTGTGGTAAATTATATATCCTGATAGGCAAACGAGATATCATTACTTGCAGTATCACAACTATAGTAATAAATGCAGTCATATACACGTATATCTCATTATCAACTTCTCGGGGATGTGTCCTAAACTCGGAAAAATCTAACTGAGGATTTGAGAAATCATGTTTAACAATAGTGGTTACTATTGCAATTAATGCGGTGAAAGTAGTAATAATTTGAGCATATAAGATATATCTATCCATAGTACTGCGATATATCAAAGTATATTGATCTGGGACTTCATCTTTAATTTTTAATTGTTCTTTCGTCTCCCTCCTAAACAATCTATAAAAGTTCCTTTTTGGTACATAAAAAGATTTGGATTTAAAAATTAGCTCTCTTTTTATTGAATTTATGTTACGAATATTGACATAACTAAACGACTGCAAAATTTTATGTTTGAAATTAGATTTTAACAGCCTTCCCGAAGCACACAATTTCTGGGACATCATCACTGAAATCATTCTTTAAATAATATATTAATTTCCTACAGAATTACACAACTTCGACCACTAGCAATCAGGTTAACCTAAAAAGTCTATAAATCTGTCAATTATTTATTTCAAACAGTTCAACAAAAACATCAACATTCACATTCTACCAAATTATAGAATGTTAAAAATTAAAAGTTACTAAATCATCAGTCCATTCTGTTGGTATTCCTTAATAAAAACCGTTGAAGTTGTATCAGCTGTCAGTCATCATTTATCATTTTGAATTCTGATTTTCCCAGTATTACCGTTTATTTTATTTATGCAAAACATGTATTAAATTGTGTATAGTGTACAGAAATTTGTTCACACAAATAATAAGTTATCAGTGAAGGGAATGGATCAAAAATATTCCGGCTTAAATATTTTTAGTTCCATAAATAAGGAAAATGAGACACCAAAATCAGTAAAAAACGAGGTAAAAAATAATCTTTTTAAGGAAAATAAACCGTTAGTGAAATCAGTATTAACAGATGTTAATAAAATACAAATTAAACAAGACGCAGGAAACGGGTCGTCGAATAATAAAAAAGAAAAAGTGGATGCAGAGCCACATTTCACACCGAAGACCACTCCTCGAAATATTCAACAAGAGGAATGTAAGAAACATAAATGGACATTAACCGACTTTGATATTGGTAAACCTTTGGGTAAAGGAAAATTTGGTAATGTGTATTTGGCCCGGGAAAAAAAATCGAAATTTTTAGTGGCATTGAAAGTTTTGTTTAAAAGTGCTATTAAAGAATTTAATAATGAACATCAAGTTCGCAGAGAAATTGAAATTCAAAGTCATTTAAGACACCCTAATATTTTACGAATGTATGGATATTTTCATGACGAATCAAGAGTATACCTGATTTTAGAGTATGCTCCGAATGGTAAGCACATTATTTTTAGACTTTTGATTTATTTTATTTTTGACTGTTTTCTCTCTTTTTTAACTCTATGAAATTATGGTAAAAACAATAGTTACGTATAATAGAGGTAGAGTATTCCATTCTGGAAAAAATTAAATTAAAACACCCATGTGTTTTAAAATATGAAAAGGGTGTTACTGCGGTAGAATACACCGTGTCGTTTGAGCAAAATAATTTTTTCTGTTTTGTTCAATTGGTTTTTACAAATAATATTTCTTTGTTAACCCACATACAGGGTGTCACGCTTAAATGTGATACAAGCCTGTAACTTCTTTATTTTTTGACCGATTTCAAAAAATATTTTTTAAAATGTAGGAAGCATTTTTTTTAATGTCAAAGCAGCTAATTGGTATTAGCGATTTTTTTTCCAAAAAACTATGTATTCTCATTTTTTACCCTACATTTTAAAAATTTTGAAATCAGTCAAAAAATAAAGAAATTACAGGCTTGTATCACATTTAAGCGCAACACCCTGTATGTTATTTACAGAATATTTTTCCTAGGTGCGCTTTATTCTAAACTAATTATGAGCCCTACGAAAAGATTTCCAGAAGATGTATGCTCGAAGTACATAGCACAAATAGCAGATGCTCTCCTGTACTGTCACTCGAAGAAAGTAATTCATCGAGACATCAAACCAGAAAATTTGCTGCTTGGCGCAAAGGGTGAAATCAAAATTGCCGACTTTGGATGGTCAGTGCATGCGCCATCCTCAAGAAGAACAACATTATGCGGAACCCTTGACTACTTACCTCCAGAAATGGTATGCGGAAAAACCCATAACGAGAAAGTAGACCTTTGGAGTCTTGGCGTACTGTGTTACGAGTTTCTCAACGGAAGACCACCTTTTGAATCAAATAGCTATGATGAGACTTACCGAAGAATAAGTAAAGCTCTTTTTACTGTCCCCGATCATGTGTCGAATGAAGCAAAAGACTTAATGAAGAGACTGTTGGTTGTAAATCCTGATAAAAGGCTGGAATTAAAGGAGGTTTTAAAGCATCCTTGGATTTTGAAACATGCAGAACTAAGTACCGATTGTAAAACTTAGTGGTTTTTCTATGATATTGTTGTTAACTGCCATTTTAGAATTTTACTCGTTAAGAATCGTTTCTGTACAAGGGATGTGATTTTGTGTCTTATTTTCGTTAACTTATGAGTAAATGTAATATTTAGCATGATTATAACTTATTAGAATATTTTTTAATTAACTTAATAGTCGGTAGAATAATTGCGAATCTGTAAATTTGTAGGGAATTCGGTTACATCTTGATTAGACCTATATTTTTTTATATCTACAAGAGTAGCATATTTGCTACCTATTTTGTAATCCAAAATGTTGTAATAAAGTAACTTTGTTTTTATCTTATTCGAATTTCATTCCCATAAAATATTTATATTTATTGTTGCTTGAATCTGGTGAAAAACATGTATTCTTTCTTCTAAACTGCTCGATGTATTAATTTGTTCACTGTATACCAGCCGTTTAACAACACCTGACAAAACGAAATCCAATGGGTTGAGATCTGCTGTTTACATTTCGTTTAAGTTTAACTCGAAAATCTGTCTTTTTTCGAAAAACATAAGAGAGTAGTAATTTGTAGAAAATTGAAAGACGAATCCGAAAATATGATTGTTACCGTTGAGTTACCGTAAAGCAGTGGCATACAATTTTATTTAGAAAAGTATGCCGCTGTATCTCCGCCACTTAAGCATCTAAATTTTAGAAATAGGCCTCAAATTTTGGACAACAAATAGATATGCCCAATTTCAAATTATGTCACTTAATGGTTTTTAAATTAAATTAAAATAAATAAATTTAAAATTGAGATTTTAAGTTATCCGCACTTTAATATTGAAATTTAGAAAACAAGGGAAATATAAGAATTAGCATTAAAAGTTGAACATTATTGGTTACTACAACCCTTCTTTCCTCCATGAATGCTGTGATCTTTATATCAAAATTACACAAAAAATGGACTAGCATACTATAAAAGTCAGTGGCGGCTCTTGACTTCCATACCAGGCAGGGCGGAAAAAAAATAATTAGGCAGTTTTATTCTAAGAACTATTGAAATATAGGGAAAATGTGAACATTATTTTTTATAGTGAACGTCCATTCTTCAGCTTTTGTCCGAAATAAACTTTTTAATTACTTTTCCATTAAAGTTTGGTATTTCTCACACCATTGATTTTTCAATAGACAGCATTACCGTTAGTCTGTCTTTGTAATCAATTTAAACTTTTACAATCTTTAAAAAAGTAAGTAAAGTAACAAAATTTTACACCACACGTAAACAAATCATGTTTACTAAGAAAAAAAGCCGTGAATAGCTAATATTTGGTTGGTCGGACTAAACAGAGCCCAAACTGCATAGTAAATATGTGCTACTCCCACTCCGTCTTTCACTGCTGCACAACGGTAACCATGACCACCGATGTAAACATGTTACAGTCGTAGGAGCGAGCTACTCGGAAACCATATATTCAATTTTTCAAACGAATTTTGCAAGTCTAGTTAAATTGACTGCATGTTACAAATTTAACATTTCCTTTTTAATGTGTTTCATAAGGCTAATCTATTTAATTATTCAGAAAACATCGTAAACTAAATTTGAAATAAAATTTTTTTACTATGAAAATTACTAGGGGGGGCGCCGCCACTGATAAAAGTCCACGCAGTCTCAATTAAATCTCTTCAAAAATAAGTTATTAATAGAAATATATTCCTTGATTATAATTTTGACACCGTTTATTGAAAAGATGCTCTTAAAGAAATAAATGATGGTGAACGTCCCATTACTCTTAATGAAATAATCCGTGATTAATCGTTTCTTCTTCGATCACATTATTTGGATTAAAAGTTTATTTTTATTATGGGCTTATTTTTTTACTTCATTTTATATGCATGCATATTAAGGAGTAATAAAAATAATTAAAAAATAAATAAAATTAAAATTGAATAACAAAATAATGAAGGTATACTAAAAAAAACAATAATTTTCCAAATTTTTTTATTTTCACTTTACAAATACATTACTTCTTAGGGGCTTCCTTTTTTTGTGGCTTCGCTTTCTTTGAAGGTTTGGGTTTGTCTCCTCCCTTGGCCATCTTCTTCTTACCATATAACGTTCCATTCCTGGACGCTGCCTTCCTTAAAGCAAGGAAAGTAGCTGTACGGATATGGTTCCTACGGGAACGTGCTCTGCGCAATTTGAAACGGTCAAAGTCCGTAAGTTCGGCACGCTGTAATAAAAAACAATATTTATAAGTAAATCATTTTTGCTTCGAGAAAAATAAAGTAAATCCATTTGATTATTCAGTTATTTATTATCTTCTGTTATGTTTCAGTCGGCAATTCCTATCAAATATGGATCATCATTAAAACGTTAATAATTTGTAAAACAAATCAGTTGATTTACAAGACAGTAATCATTTTGTCTAACCGCTATTATTATGCTCTTGGAAATATTGTATAACCTACCTTTTTCTTGGCAGCAATTTTCTTCGCCCATACAGATTCGGTCCATTTTTCATCAATTTTAGAATCAATCCATGACTTACGAACAGCTCGTGTGGGCGCTGTGTATGGAAATTTGATTCGGAATTTTGTTAAATGCAATTGATTTAACCTAATCTGGCTTCTGGGTACATTGCTTACTGGTCCATCAACTAATACCTACATTGACATACTGTTTACATTTTTGCAACATTAAGCTGTCATTAAAATTATAGAATGTATTATCAGATAGTTTTAAATTGGCTTCATTTATGTATCAGCCGGCAATTCCTATCAAAAACTGGATCATCATAAGTATATAAGTATTTTAGATTCAATAACCTATACATACTATATACTCACCCTTGTTTGGTCAATAACATCAACAATGCTAACAAGTTTACCCTTATTGGGGCCATCAGAAATAAGGGCCACACGGCCAGTTTCTACGAATCTTTGAAACGGCTAAAATAAAAAATGAAACGTGGTAATAATTGGTACATTATACACATACATTTTAAAATTTGTAATGTATAACATACTCCCTATAATAATGATAAAACACTATAATTCATTACAATAGTTTTTTAACTAGTTTACTTCGAAATATTCCCTATCTTGATAATTTTATAAAAGAATATTTATATTTGGCTAACTTACCATGCTTTACGGAAAAGAAAAGAACTAAAAGCTGACATTTACCGGAAACAGTAGTTTTGGGAATACTGTGCAAGTCAAAATCATCACTAAATTTGTTAGCAAGCTAAATTCCGTACCCTGTTTTAAATTATTTTCTTATAAAAAAACTAACAAAAAATTAGTAAATATATATTCTTTATTTCTTTTTAATTAAAACATAACAGAATTATAAAAAATGAACCATTAGTGTTATAATTGATTACAGTAGTTACACCAGGCGCCAGGCGTATTCCTTCCTAGGTACTTTTTCCCTGGACGTTAATCGCTAATTCGTTTGAGTTCGGAATAATTTTTTGAATTTATTTTAAATACGATTTAATTAAATCTGCTAAAGTATAAAGAATTTATTGAAATCTGACGATATTTTTTTATTTTCTATCTTTGATAAAATCTTTAGTAAAAACAAGTTTTTTGGTAAGAAAATAAAGAACCTTTCAAATAATATATTAATAAAATATATTTGATCAACGTAATATTATTGGCCTGTTTAAACAATCTTAAATGGCTTTACATAGTCCATATTATAAATAAAACAACAAATTCTGACTCATCGATTCTGTCGGCGAAATGTAGCTTATATTAGGTTAGTAACCATGATTGCGCTATTACTTGCACATAGGTAATATAAAGTTCAATGATGAAATTTGCATCTGTCATTAACTTTGTCTTATTTTTTCCACTGAATTCTAGCTTGAACCACAAAATATTAACACTCAAACATAGAAAATCTGATCGGTCTGATTACATTACAATCGACAATTTTTCGATTTATAGAATCGAATATGCCTTACACTGTCACTGGTAATTAAAAATAAATGTCAAACACACAAGGTGATTTCACTAGTGATGGGCATAATCGACCAATTTTGATAATCGAGTTATCGGTAATCAAGTACTTCTAATAATCGAGTGATCACTCGAGATACGAGATATTGGTCGTTTTCATCCCAGCGGCGCACAAATATGTTTGTATAGTCATATATTACTTATAAGCGTAGCTAAAAAAAAAAAAAAGCTCGCACTTCAAAACCTAACCACTTTCGTTTTATTCTAAAAAAAAGGTTACGCACTCAGTGACTATTTGCAGTATGCAATTTTGGGGTACAACCGTAGGGTAATAATCACTCGAGTGGTGGGAGTAAACATCTCGAGATATCTCGAGTAATCTTAATAATCGAGTACCACTCGATTTTTCACTCGAAATCTCCCATCACTAGATTTCACTAATTTCAGTGATTTCTGTGAATTTTTGTAGGTGACGTGATCAGTTGAATAGTGAGAATCCAGTGTGCTTTAAATATTTTATATCGTTTTCATATTTTGTGCAGATTTTAAAATGTACAATTGTCTGTGTAAGTATTAATTGTGTAATGTTCCTGATTGCCTTACATCTTTTTTGTTAAACATATTTCAGCATATGATGAACCACTGCAACAACAATTACTTCCTTATATAAATTTTACTCAAGATATTACATACATGGCTAATTCAACAAACAAATTTGTGTACGTGAAACAAGACTTTACTCATCGTCCTACTGAGATCGAACCTATAAAAGTTCTAGTAAACCCTAATTTTAATAAAAAAGTCTTTGTTAATCCAAACTTTAATGGTAACATAAAAAAACAGTCTACTTTACCTCCTAAAATACATATTAATCCTAATGTACAGAATTTGAAATTGAGGAATGACGAGTGTAAAAATAACAAAATACACATAAACCCAAACATATTAAGAAATGCTCCAGTTTCTAAAAACGACACAATGGTAGAAGAAAACTACAATAACAACCGAGGTCAAAATTGTGGGAAAGAAGCCAATTGTACAATAATTTCTACAAGAACAAAATTGGTGCGGACATCGGCTAAGAATATATCTGAAACTAAAATTAAAAAGCGCAGGTCATCGATCAGGTCACAATTTAAAATAATTAAATCTTCGTTACTGGAAAAATCTATGTCGCATAAAAACAGAACCGGATCAAAATATAAATTAATTATTAAGTCAAACAACAAATCTTGTCCTGTTTCAAAACCTGTAAATAAGTCTAAGCTAGACAACAGGAGTGCTAAAATAATGGATACGAGTCCTAGGAGCAAAAAATATGTTTATATTAACAGATTCCTGAACATTACTGACATAGCAAGGAATAATCTTTTGAAACAGAATAAAAACAAATTATCTACAATAAACATTGGAGGGATTCTTTATAAAAAATCAGAAAATGGTTTGAACATCACATTAAATCCACATAAGAAAAATAATATGAGGAAAGTACAAGATAATGGAATACGAAAATCAAAATATAAATTTATGAGAAAATCATCAATAACAAATAGTCAGATATTAAAACAGTCTAAATCTTCAATGTAAGACAGTCAAGTCAGTTATATTGTTTCCAAATTTCACTAATTTTACAATTTTTTAGGGTTGGAGTGAAAATTGTTATAAAGAATACGTCCAAACTGCGGGTTTGTAATATACCATGCCCCTATTACAGGAAATTTGGAAGATGTAAAGGAAAAGAAAATGGAAAATGTTGTAGGAAACACGATCCTGACCAAATTGCTTTATGTACAAAGTAAGTAGTTCATTCTAATACATTCATATATTTCAATGTTTTTTTTTTCCATGAATTCAATCACTAAGTTAACCAACATCTATCCATGATAGATATATCTTTTTCCTTATTTAATTATATAAGTTAAACTTTACCAGGTAATAGAATTTGCCAAAAAAATCTAATAAACATTTGTCACGAAATGATCAGTTTCAGAGATAAAAGTGGAACATTTTTATTAGTTAATTTTTAAGAATTTCAATTATATTCAAGAAAACGTTCTCTATATTAGAAACTAAGCATTTTCTGGTCCATATTATTTATAGGACTGTATATGTCTTATGAGTTCTGCCACAGGTAAAAGTTGACTTATGTTATTTAAGACAGCTTGTAGAATTTGATATTATTCAACTTAAATACTTGGCGATTTATTTTGAACCTTTAGCATCTGCAGTGATGTAAATTGTTTTTATTTCTTACGAATCGTAGCATCCAGAAAAGAAACAGATAGTAAGGTCTCGAACGTGTTTTGGCTTTAATAAAATAAAAAAAAAACATGATACAATTAAGAGAATTTAACAATATTTTTGTAATTGAATATTTAGTCATGCGCGAGATATTTGCAGTAAAATCATTTTCTATTTTAATCAGATTTTTACAAGGAGCCTGTATAGACAATAAATGCTTTTTGTCGCACAATGTGTCTCCCGAAAAAATGCCAACATGCAAGTTTTACTTGGACGGCTCCTGCTCAAGAGAAGATTGCCCATACTTACATGTCCGTATTAACCCTAGAGCTGATGTTTGTAGGGATTTTTTGGAAGGGTTCTGTAAAAAAGCTGCTGAGGTAACGTTTGTTATACTCTCTAACATTAGAGATTTTATTTATAGTTGAAATGACTGCTTTAAGAGAATAATTTGCAGTGTGAAAAACGCCATCAGTTTCTCTGCCCAGATTACGAGAAGAGTGGCAATTGCCTAAAACAGAGATGCCCCTATCCTCATGGGAAAATGGTAAGAAAGTATTCAGTATTTAATAAGAATAAATTTGCCAAGAAATCTTCCAATAACTGTACAACTACAGTCAGACTTGACAGTGCAGTAAAAGGTACAAAATCTGAAAATTTAATTAGCGCTGAAAATTGTGAGGGCAATATGAAATCACGATATTATATTGGACAAAATAATTTGGATAACGAAGGAAAACAAATTGACTCGAATCAGAGTGGCTCTGTTGAGAGAGAAAATGATCAAGAAAGTGGTGTAAAAATTCGGCCAAAATTAGGAAAATTACCATCTTTTATAGCATTTGAAAATACATAGCGAATATTTCTTGGCAATAAAATTATTTTCATATTGTACTACGAATTTGTGATATAATAAAATGCAAATATAAAAATATTATTTTATTTATTATTTCCTATATCGTCCCCATGTGGTAACAGGTTGTGTAATAAATAGTAACAAGGAAACAAGGATTTATAACTACTTTGGTGGATAAATTAGAGCCCAATTTGATGGCGCATTGTAACCTAATAATACAGGAGAATGGAGAAGTAAAGAATAACTGTCTTTGTCAATTTTACTTGACAATTTTATCCAGTCGGTCAACCACACTACCATCTCCTCATTTTTCATATTTGTGGGATTCAGTCCTATAATAAAAGTGATTAATTAAATTTATGAGGAAAAAATGGGCGTTCTGAATATATTGAAATGACTATTGGTTTGTACCTGCTGGTTTAGTTCTGCAGTTTAAATTGAATATTGAAATAATTGCATATTAAGTACTGACCTCTGATAAAGCATGCATTTTTTAATGCGTCAATCGGTAAATTATGCACGCCACCTTCCCTCATTATTGCTTTATCCATTTGTATCAGTATAAAAGCTCTATCAGCTAATCGCGTCCTGCGAAACCACCCCTTGTGTTGTTCATGCATTTTAAGTAAATGCAACTAAAAATGAACTGACTTAGCAATATATTACCGTAGCTACAAGAGTAAGTTTAAATTCTCTGAACTAAATTCAATATTGCGATTACTGAAATCAGATATACTTACAACATGATTTCGACTTAGGTAGAGTAAATGGTATGGTTCAGAAGTAAACAATTCTTTGCATTTTAATATCTCTTCAGGACTTGTTTGTTGACCGCTACCTAACTTTCCCAGGATATTAGCCCACTGATCGTGAAGGGGATGGCACTTTAAGAAATCTAGTTGGCTTTGTAAGTGGCGAAATACCGGCCTGTTATGGATCAATCGATTTTGGAGAAAAATTATATTAAAATCGGACCTCTGTTGTAAGCTCCAAAAATGTGAGCAAAGCAAATGTCTGGGGAACATATAAGCTAAAGGGAATATAACATAGTTTCCAAATGGTAGTGCCGAAACTAATAAAACTGGAGCTACCTTTCTCATATCTTTGGGCATTTGGTGATAGAGTTCTATTTCTCTTCGAAGAAGTTTGCTGAAGTCACTACCAGTGGCGTTTAAAATTCGTATAATCTTAAAATAATCTTTGGTATCCCTTATAAAATCTTTGACTCCGTCCATAAAAACCCTGTACACGCGCATAGCGCCGGGAAAGCTTTTCTCCAATATTTTGTCATAGTTTTTAAGATATTCAACATATCTACTCAAAACATAAAACCTAATTTTCTTGGCTTCAGTTTTATAAATTGATTTTCTGTGAGCTTCTCGAACTGATGAGATTCTGCGAAATCAAAACAAACTGTATCATCGGCCTGATGTTCGCTTTTTGAATCATTAGATACTAAATACAAATATAAACATTAACTTGCCTTGTAATTGAACCTATATGTGATTTTGTTAATCTATTAAGGTACATCCTTGAGGCATTTATGGTTATAGTAGAATTCATATTTATGAATTGCGAGTAATATTAAATATATCTTATGTACCATAATTCATATTAAAAAATAAAATTTCAAGCGTTATTTGACGTTTGAAGGTTATATATTTTTGACACTACTATTTGCCATTGCTGTCATTTCAAATCAACCAATAGGGTTAAACGCATGTTCAGTAGTTGTTCCATGGCTCTTTCCAGGGAGATGTGTAGTCTCCATGGCTCTTCCCTTGGGACATCCACAACCTGCCTTCATAAATGATTACAAGCCACCTGACCAGTAATTTTGTTTTGTAGGGAACTCTATCTGGGTGGCTGTTTCAGGAAGGCACACTATATTTTTCTCTAAAAGTTTATTTTTCCATGAAGGCATACATCTTAACAACGCTTCTTTTTCGCACATAATGTAATACATATCGTCTTTCTTTTCCTTACTAACCATAAGCCTAAGATAAGAAGTAAAAACTAAGAATACTGAACACTTTACTCCAGATCTCACCGCCCACGATCCGATATTTCTAGATCTGGAGCGAAGACAGAGATATGAAGGCACCTTCACGAGGAGGTTCACTGACTGGGAGCGCTTCCGAGCAGAAATGCAAGGAAACATCGCGCTCCCAGTCATCGAAACCACCCATGACCTGGAGGCGGCAATCCTCTCCCTTGAGACTGACTTAAAAAACGCCCTGACTCAGACTACGACGGAGACTATTGTCCCCCGACTGACAAACCCCCGGGGCACCCTCCCCGATGACATAAAAAACTTAATACGTGACAGACGACGTTCGAAACGGCTTGCCACCCGCACACGCCTCCCCCGACACAGACATGACGACTTAAACGTACTTAACAGACGGGTGAAGGCGGCTCTGGGTGAACATGGTACAGGACAACTGGGCTAAGCACCTGGAGTCGCTGGATCCACAAGACAACAGCCTCTGGAAAACGCAGAGGGCCCTGCGACAGACCGCTCGCCGTAAAATTCCTCCAATCCACGGCAGCAAGGGGATGGTTTACACGAACCAGAAAAAGGCCGAGGCTTTCGCCGATAGCCTGCCAGACGAAGACGAGGAATTCGAGAGAGTGGCTGAGCGCGCGGCCCGACGCGTCGACAGAGAGCCAGGCAATCCCCCCCGCAACTCCTGACGAACTAAGACTGACATTACGCAGACTTAAAAACAGAAAAGCTCCCGGACCCGACAATATACATAACACGACACTTAAACGACTACCTACCACACAAGGGCCTCATGGCCCTACTAAACATAACAAACGCGACACTCAGACTAAGACACTTCCCTACCCGCTGGAAAACAGCAAACATAATTCTTATTCCAAAACCCAACAAAGATCACACCTTCCCATCCAACTACCGTCCCATTAGCCTGCTCCCGGCTATGAGCAAAGTGGTAGAAAAAATTATCCTAACCCGTCTAAGAACCCACTCCCAAGCAGTGGCGTACGCTGCTTTGACCCTTGGGGGGGGATATAATAAAAAATATATTAATGAATAAGGTTATTTTATATTAATTTCAAACATTACAAAATAAAATCTATGCGTCTTGGCTATCACCTGCATATAAACCTGAGTTCATGGGGGGGGGATATATCCCCCTTATCCCCCCCCGACCGTACGCCACTGCTCCCAAGAACTGCGAGTCATTCCAGACGAGCAGTTAATTCGCCTTCCGACCCAATCACTCCACTGAACTCCAAATCCTTCGCCTTACCGAGCACATCACGGCGGCCTTCAACAGGGGACAGTACACTGGTGCTGTCTTCCTGGACGTCGCAAAAGCCTTCGATACGGTTTGGCATGAAGGCCTACTGATGAAAATGCTCACCAACCAATATCCCATATCCTTTACCAAACTCATAAAATCCTACCTACACCACCGAAAATTCCGCATCCAAATCCANCTGGAGGCCTACTGATGAAAATGCTCACCAACCAATATCCCGTTTGGCATGAAGGCCTACTGATGAAAATGCTCACCAACCAATATCCCATATCCTTTACCAAACTCATAAAATCCTACCTACACCACCGAAAATTCCGCGTCCCCCAGGGCACCGTCCTGTCCCCACACCTATACGAGTACACCATTTACAACACATTTACATTTGTGATTATAAATTTTCTGTCTTTTCTTCCTGCATTATTTTTATTTTCTTTGTGTATTTACACAAGTACCTTTTTTGAATAGAAAAGTAGAGTTTCCCTGTTTTAGAATTACTAAAATAATTTCTTTTTAGATTTTTACTGACAGGTGGCATACTTTATTATTCTGCGGAACTAGCGGCGAAAATGCAAGCCAAGGTAAATAAATCTCCAGTTTATGTTTACATTTTCAACTATAGTGGAGGTTTAATCCATAGTTTTTAAAAAGCCAGAAACTGAAGGTAAGAAATTGATCGATACTTTACTAAATTACCATTATCAAGCTAACTTCAACTAAAACTAACAAAAATACTATACAAATCAAATTTTTGAAACAGGTGTATGTCATGGGGAAGATGCTATATATTTCTATGGAATATCTTCTTCAAAACCATTTTCGGACAAGATAAGCGCTAGCATACTGCTTGCCATAACATGTTGTACTCATATGCCAGCAGCGGGTAAAGAACATTTAAATCAATTTTTAATAAATTACCTCTCCTTAATTTTTATTTTTAGTAATCCTTCTTAGGATGAGACGAATAGATGGCAACCAACAGGATCTGAAGAGTGGACATACTTGCTTATAAATGGACCAGAAGAGAAGAAGCTTCAAAGGAGTGAAAAGGCCACTCCTATTGACTTTTGGACCAAGCTTGGGTTCTTGGAATATGAAAACGTTGTTTTAAAAAATGAACTGTAGTTTCCTTTGTTAGTATTTTGTTTATAGTTTAATCTTTGTAATCCGAAAATTTTAACTTTATTAAATGAATAAAAATAAAACTAAAATTATTTTCTTTCATTGCATTGGTGTAGATGTAATTACTAAAAAACCCAAGTTCTACGCCAATGGATTGATATTACTCATAATTTTGATATGAGGTTTATTGTCTTATAGCGAGCGGTGTCGTCAACTTACCAAATTTTAGCAAATTCGCATAAGGCGTTTTAAATTTGTAAAGAAAAACAAATTGAAAATTGCACTTCAGGGCCGTATATCGCCCAAATGAAGCAACTTTAACTAAGGTAAGTAAATCGACTTATTTTGAGCCGCACTGATGTGTCTGGTGAAGCGTTGTAAAGACCTTTTAGGGACACCCTGTGTATGGAAAAATTCACTTTTTTGCAATACGTTTACAGGTACTATGCCTTGCTTAAGGTTTCGTTACATACACATTACATACACATATACTAATTTTTGAGAAATCAACACGTCGCGTGAATGTTACTGCGTCATTTTAACTATCCAGGAAACCAATCAGCATCACCAGCATCAACCATCAAGTGCTTAGTGAGCGCCGCGACGCGTAGAAGTGAACATCGGCGTCGGACGTAGGATGCAAACCTATACAATGTTTTGTAAGTTTAATAAAACACACACATCCAACTGCTTGCTTCATAGATATGATTGCAGTAAGAAAATGTGTCCAGTCTTGTATTAATTGTAACAAATTTGAACAATAACGTAATTAACATTGTGATGTGATCGATTCAAAAGGTTTTACTGCATGGAAAGATGAAAATCTAATGACCCGGCAAATATGTTGTATATTTAGACACATACGAATGTTGTACAGCATGCGTTTATTTTTGAACGTTTTAATAACTTTTTAATCTAAAGGCACATGTAGGTGGCATTTAATAAAGCGACGACCCTTGATTCCTCCAATGTTTGGGGTGAATATCGATCTTCGGGAAGCTGCGACCTTGGACTTAGTTATCCCGTTCTGCCCTTTGAAACTTTGTAATTGACAAGAATTTACTTTTAACTTCTAAAATGTTACGTCCAGTTAAATAACAGATTTTTAAAAATGTCCTTTAACTAATATAAATCCTCAAAGATAGTGTTAGAGCAAAATGCAAGAAAATATATCTATATTTTACAATTAAAACAGCATATAGGACATTTTTGCTCGAAAATCAATTTTATAAAAAAGCTTGTATTTTAAAATTAACACAATGATAATTCAAAAATGGCTTGATGTTTCTTAAAAATAAAATACAGAGTGTTTTCAAAAGAAGTAGCAAAAACGGTACCGGTGAATCTACATCTAAAAAGAACACATTTTGCAAAAGATTACATTAATAAAATATTCACCCCTTAGGAGATACAGCTTCTCAAACTTTTCAAAACAACTTCTCAATAATTATTCGAAAACTGTAGTTCTAATGCGAATGATAATGAATTTCATTTTTTGTTAAACGCTTAGTTTTAAAACAAAAAAGTAAAAGAGGTAAAAGTCGTAAAATAAACCAGTATATGTGATACGTATTTAAGAATATTCAATTTTTGTCAAACAAAAAAGTTGTAACAAAAAATAGCATAGATAATGCTTATTTCAACTCCCTATAAACGACAGAAAAATTGTTGATAAGTTGAACATGCATTAGTAAAAAATTTGTGTAAAATTTGACTCTTACACCTTTTTTGGTTTTCAAATTATAACCGTTATTCCATATTTTTTTGGAAACTTTGAGAATTTGTATTTCCTAACGAGTAAATATTTTGTTAAGGTAATTTTTTTGCAAAACGTGTCCTTTTTTAGCTGTAGATTCACTGGTACCATTTGTGCTATTTCTTTTGAAAACACTATATAAATTAAATGCATTATCCAATTTCCGTCAAGTTTTTTAGTGATAATGCTTTGAGGTCTATAATAATTCAAGGAACAACTTCCTGAAGTCATGACAGACTTGAAAACACCCTGTATATATATTATTTTCAATATTCCTATTACTATGTGAAATAAGAGAATAAGATATTGGAAATATGGGATAGATAGATTATTTTTTATTTAATATTTGCATATTAGACAATTATTAATGACTGTCTCTGTAATTATTATTTTTTTAATTAACGCAGATGTTCGGTATCAAAAAGCTTATGATGAGTATTTTAGGAACTTTGTTGGCATTCATTTGAATTAGTTTAATACCTTTAAAGTAAAGTAAAAATATAGAAGAGATGATAATTATAATTTCTGCCGAGTACTAAAGTAGGTACCTATTTTGTAGTGTTGTGTACTTATAACTAGATCAAAGTCATTTAAAAATAGCCTGTATCCATGTTTTCACCTGATGGGGACCGTTCCAGTTGTGAATTCAGCAAGTAATTGAAATTAATTTAAAATTTTCCTGATTTACATTTCATTTTTCGTGATTTAGTTCACAATGTTTTTATTTTTTAAAGATTATTGGGAAACAAAAAATTTTTTGCTGGAAAATCAATTTTACTTTTTTATGTACTCGTAGAAGGTATGAACCTACAAAGTAAAACCCACTAATATTGCAAATATTTTATAAAAATCATCTGTAGTATATCTAAAAGAACATTTTTAAATATTTATTTAAATTTACTTCTACTTGCAAATGGACTTCAACTAAAAAAGTTTATAAAAATTGAAAGCTGTGCTTACATCTCATAAATAGTTATAGAATACTATAGAATAGAGAACATTAAAATACCACATGGATTTTCGGATTCTTATGCCGTGGCTTGTAAACGTTTATGAAGGTTCAGTATCAGCACTTAAAGTTTTAAAACTACTAGAATTAATATCTAGAATTAATATTTATTAGTGATAGATAGATAGATAGATAAATATTACTAGAGTTAATATCAATATCCATATTTCTGGTTCCATATTTTATCTTCTTCCATTTGTTATTAAATATCTTCAACCTAATTGTAATGAAATTTATATTTTTAGGACAAACCCAGCAACAAAAAAATCAAAACATGGCTGTCGAAATTTTAGACCAAGATCATTTTGCAATAAGTGCTATAGTTACAGTAACAATGCAAGTAATATTTTTCTTGATAGCAGCCACTTTCCAAATGGATAAAGTTACTGATTTTGCTGGAGGAATAAATTTTATAATACTAGCCTTGCTCACGTTTTTTCTAGGTCAAGGAGGAAAGGTACATTTTTTCTGCATTGGTGTGTGTTTAGGTACTAAAGAAATTATAATTTTTTTAAGAAAAGCTACGACAGCAGGCAACTGATGGTAACAGTATTTGTCTGTCTATGGGGAATGCGTCTTTCGGGATACCTTTTTTACAGAATTATCAAAATAGGTAGAGATAAACAATTCGAAGATAAGAAAAGTAACAACATTCGATTTGCAATTTTTTGGACATTTCAGGTAAATAGTGGATAGGGTCCTTTGTCAATTCATTAGCTAGGAAATTAGTAAAACAAATGACAATAGCTTAAAAAATGATTAATACAAATAAACTGCTTGTTTCTAATAAAAAATAAATATTTGCACGCCTAAGTTTTCTTATTTTTGGTCAGTCAACCATCTGTAATTACTGCCTTTTTTCGTCCATAATTTATTATTTCCAGTTTAATTATTGTATTTATAAATATCTTATTTAAGTAATTATTGGTTATATTGACAAATTTTCCAGCTAATTGTATATTTTAGGCGGTTTGGGTGTATGTAGTAAGTTTACCAGTCATTATCATAAATTCTCCAAGACACGCCATTCCAAAAGCTCCGAAAACTATGACCACGCTAGATTCAACAGGAACGGCATTCTTCGTTGTTGGTCTCTTGGCAGAGACGTACGCCGACTTACAAAAGTTCTCATTTAGGCAGGATCCATCCAACCAAGGGAAATGGTGCAATGATGGTAAGTCCAAAAGAGTTTCAGCATTCAGCATGATAAATTTCGACGACATGATACTTTTTATGAGGATTCTATTAAAAATTTCCTTAATTTATTGGTTAAAAAGCAAATAGTTTGATTGCGAATTGTTTTAAAGGGTATATTCATTATCTCAAAATATATACTGGTGTGTTTTAGGTCTATGGAGATTATCCAGGCACCCAAACTACTTCGGGGAAATAGTCTTATGGTGGGGGATATTTATAATCTCCCTCAACGTGCTTGAAGGAATAGAGTGGGTTGCAATAATTTCCCCTTTGTTCACTACCATAATTATACTGTTCCTTTCTGGAATACCACTTCTAGAAAAGTCTTCCGATGAAAAATACAGGGAGTAAGTATAAATTAATATAAAAGCTTTCTCACAAAAGAAAAACGTTTCTAGTTGATAAATTAATCCAAAAAACAGAATTGAATACATAAATAGTAATTTTAAAATTTATTTCTAAGTTTAATTACAATTTTTTTTACAAAATTAGCCTTGGTAATTTTTGGAGATATTTTATTAATTTTCATTTTATTATGTTCAGTTTATTATGTTATGATCTCAGTTTCATTCATGGACGTGGTTTTTTACACATTTCTAGTAACTTATTTTTGTGCAAATTGATCTTTTGTATTTTTGACTATAAGTGAGATTCTGATATCTTTCAGTCTTGCGTTTACTAATTAACAACTGTAACGAAGTACTATAAGTAGCTTGGCTGATATTATTTGCGGACATGGGCGTAGCCAGGGGGGCAGGGTGAGCCGCGGCCGGCCCAAATAATTGTTGCTCCATGCTGCAAGTTTCACAGTGTTTTGAAATTTTATATCGGTAGGTCTCTGACGTGAGTTTTTTTTAGAATCAATCGAAAAAGTGTTTAGGTTATGAAGTGCGTGCGTTTTTTTTGTAGAGGCCACCGTAGAGCTTGCAGCCCTGGGTACACTCCCAGCAAAAATCTTAGCTACGCCCATGGTTGTGGAATTTGGATACCTATCGTAAAATATTTAAGCAATATTAAATTTAAAGTAGTAACATTGAAATTGATAATCCGTAAAAATGAATATGAATATGAATTAACTGATCTTTTTGGTCCGTTTGCTTTTGAATATTGTCAGTACAAGATATAAACTTATGAAGTAAATAAACGTTTATTATGTAAAAAGTCAGAGTGTAACAGTGACGTGCGATAAACTTCCATCTAAGCGCTCCTAAGGCTGTTCGGTCCTTCGAAGGTATAAAGTGAAAGTTAAGTTTTATTCAATAACCATTGAAGATGGACTTGGAACAGCGTGATCCTACAATTTGAAAAAACTAACCAGTGGCGTCGAATTAAGAGATGTTTGAAGGGTTCCAAATGTGAATAAAAATATTTGACATTATTGAGAATCTGCTTTTATAAATGTTAATAGAACATTTTTAATGAAAACTTATTACAATGAAAGATAGATTCACTTTTTCTATAACTTCTAATTAAGAAATTAGAGCAAAAGAAAATAATTGGCTTTTACCTCTATCGTCCCCTGCCAACGCGTCCTGACATTATTATGATTTTGGACTCGCGAATTCAACGAAAAAAAAAAAAAACTGAAAAACACACAGATTAATTGCAAATGATCTATTTACTACAAGGTAATCAAATAACTCTTTTGATAGTCGAAATTTCTCAGACTCTTCCTAACGTCACTAGCTAATTTTACATTTAGGTAGCGACACTGCACTGCACCAAGTCACAGTATAGAAAACAGTAAATTCACTGCCTCTTAACTTATTTATAAAAAATTGACCCTAGTCGCTTTAAGTGACTGCGCAGAGACCACGCGCAAGTAGGGGAACCTCAAAAGCTGAAAGCTAAGCTTGGCTTGTTGGTGGACTAGGGGCTTGGCTTGCTACTGCGCATAGACCACGCGTCCCTTTACTGGACTTTTAGAGGAGTGGGTTCTATACTGTGACCAAGTCTATTCCTTCAATGGTCCTTTTGATGAGGAGTTGATTAAAATATGTGTCACATACAATTTTTGTTGGGCGTAGATTCTTATGTTTTGTCCGCAAGGCACGCAAAATGGACTCAGGAATTTTTGTGACTAACAAAAAAAAGTGAGTAATCATTGCGTTTCATCTTAAATTCATAACGATTTCATATGCGGATACACCCTTAGTAAATCACCAACGAAGGCTGTCCAGGCCTACACGAGATGAGGCAGGATAAAGAGGGATAATCCCCCTTCGATCCCAAATCATTGAGGTCAATTTCTAGCCATGGAATAATGGCGCGCGCCTTAGTAAACGTCTTGAGAAGTTTTTTTTAATTTCAGAAAGTATGCTACCTACATATAACATATTCATCTTACTTTTTCTATTATTCCAGCATATCCGATTACAGATACTACAAGGCTTCCACTTCTCCGTTGATTCCTATACCCCCATCTATTTACGTTGAAGTTCCCCAATTTCTGAAATTCATTTTGTGTTGCGAATATCCGATGTACGATTCTTTAGATGAGAAAACTAAGGGGGCGCACATCATTAAGGAATCTACGAGTGCATCGTTAGCTCCATCGCAGACATAGCTATAGCTACATGCTGGTCCTCAACAACAGGTCAGCAGTAGTACCACAGTGACAGAAAATAAAGTTCAAATTACAGCTCTCTGAATATGGGCCACGGAAATATTGATAAGCGCAAACTATCAAAAATAATTAGGAAATTTAGGAATGATGTTTTATCTAAGTCAAATGTATTCTATAGGTTAAATTCACACGGAATTTACTAACTGGACGGGCTTTTCCACTGAGTGAGATTTAAAAAATATTCCAGGTAGATGTTTGAATTAAATAATTAAGTGAAATGTCAATTAGGTATACGTCAAGGTTCAGTATGAGAAAAAGTTTTACGAAGATACGAAGAGAATATACATACATTCAAATTATTTTAATAAATTATCCCAGACGAGTGTGCTTTAAAGATAAATATGTTTTAAAAAATAATAAAATTAATACTGTGGAATAATGAACTGTGTAAGAATACTGGTAAACATTATTTTCGGTATTGTACAGGGTGTTGTACAAATGCGCATAAAATTTTAGATTTCAGAACACTAAAAGATGAAACGATTTTTTTTATGGACCATGAGCCTATTATCTTTCGCTTAATTCATTAATAATGGACAGGGTGTCACGAAACTTATGGGTTATATATCAAGTGTGGTTTCCTTTGATGAAAATGAACCGAATTAAATCAAGTTACATTAGCACAATCTCGCTTCCTTAAAAATTTACAGGTCTTTCAAAAAAAATAAATACATTTTTTTGTAGGCCTCTTACCTTTTAACCAGTGGCGGCTTGTTACATTGAAAATAGGTGAGGCATATTCATTGATTGCCTAAAAAGTTGGCGCTGGCGAAAATTTTCAGATTTTCAAGGTCAAACGACTTTAAATGAATCGGAAATAATTATAAATTGCAAAACCAAACGGAAATTTTGGGTGAAGCGGTGCGTCACTTGCGTCTCCAGACGCGCCGCCAATGCTTTTAAGGAAGCAAAATAGTAAAAATATAAATTAAACTAAATCGATTAATTTTGATCTAGAAAGCTTCACTGAAATTTGATACAGTGTTTAAGTTATTGACAATCTACTAGGGGTCGGTCTCGGTATGACATTTAATAACATACATTTTCTGAGATTAGGTTTTTTTCAGAGTACCTATGTCCTTAATATAATATTTAATTGTACAGAAAAGCTACCCTTATTATTGTAAAATCAAAGAAAACTTACCGTCTTTTGAGAAAAACGCAACTATTTAACCTAATGTTAACTATAGTAGCTATTCCTTTATATACAGGGTGTCCGAAAACTAAGGGTTACATTTCAAAGGTTGTTGCTTCCCTAAAAAGTTACATATCTTCAAAAAATATTTATTTTTTCATTTTTTTGAAGTCTGCTAATATTATAAGGAAGCATGATGGTTCGAAAATTTATTTTCATTAAAAGGATATTTACCCTCGAAATATCATGCATTCATTTGTGGACACTGTATATTAAAGATAGATGGTTGACTTTGGGATGACTGGTTCGGTGTTTCTCAAAAAAGCACATTAATGAAGTGTTACATTAGAGTACAAGACATGTACACCGTAACAAACCTAATCTAAAAAAGTTATCTCCGCCTAAAATGTCATTGAATGAGCAGCTGGATCTCTCTAGCGGATGGTTAAAAACTAACAAAGCAATTTCAATTCATTTTCATTACATTGTTTTTTCGAAATAAAGACTACAATTTTTATTTGTAAAATCATCTTTGACACCCTGTATGTTAAAAACACAAGACTATTAGTCATTTTATTTTTTGATGTCCTACCATCCTCTAATTTTTGCAACACCCATCATAATTAAAATGGAAATAAATTTTCTTAAATTCATTTTATTTCATTTTCGTCTATATTTTCCTAATTATTTTTGAATTGGCGAAGAGAATGCCTTATATTGAATGTAATAAGGCATATAGGGAACATTGATTAAGAGCAAATTGTGATTAATTTTAAAAATCTGTATGGAATACATTTGTGCTAAAAGTTAATCTATCAAAAATATATCAGAAAAACTAGGAATTGAAACTGAAATTTAGAAAAATCTCTATTTACGGTTTAGGTCAATATTGTTAGTAGACAAAAAAGGAATAATGTATTTAAGCTTATTATAAAAATCGTAAATGTACAAACAGTATTATTTTAAACTTCTTTTATAGTAAGCTGTTAATACATGATACTTACCTAGTCTTGTAATCATATCTAACAAAATTAAATTTAAATGAAAATGTGCAGAAACTAACAATATACTATTAAAATTCTTCGACATACATTATTATATTCATGTTGTTTGTTACTATTATTAAATCACTAATAAAAAAAAACTACATTGTGTTCAATAGACCTATTTATTGAATAAATATTACATTTGAACACACTGTTACATTTTGCTACTTGTACTTTTATTTATTCACGATGACAAACCAATTGAGACAGAAATTCAATAAGGGTGCGGGTTGGACGACCGGACATGCCCTCCCGAAGGTAAGCAAAATCGGTTCCATTAGACAGCATGACGCCAAATGTATCTAAATGCAGCCAGTCTCCGCATGGAACAAATTCATTCAAGAATGCCGCAACTTTGCAGGCTCCACCACACCTAGGCTTGCCGCCTGCTCCAAATGTCTTCACGTCCACTGCATGGTGACGGCCTATAAGTTTGGTGAAATGATCCCACAGTGGGAACCTCCAAACTCTGTCTCCTGTATGCATTGAAGCCGCTAGCATGTACTCCCAGAGAGCCTCGGAATTACTGAACACACCACTTGCAGAAGCGCCAAGGGAATGTTTCATATCGTTTGTCATAGTGCCCACGTCTACGATAAACCGGGGCCAGAAATTCTGCGCGTAAACCAGAGCATCGGCCAAACAAAGTCGTCCCGCTGTATCAGTGGATTCAATTTTGATGCTTTTCCCATTCATTGCTTTTACGATGTCTCCTGGCCGCATGGCGGCACATCCAGGCATGTTTTCGCACAGGGGAATTAGGGCTCTAATATTGATAGGCAACTGTAAACCAGCCACGGCACGGCAAGCTGCAACAACACAAGCTGCTCCGCCCATGTCACCTCTCATAAATCGTTGGTTATTACAAGATTTAAGGCAAAGGCCGCCACTATTGTAAGTAATTCCTTTTCCAACTAAAACGACTGGTCTTTCGTCTCGGGATGCTCCATAGTAACTGAGCTCTAGAAATATTGGAGGCTCGCAGGAACCCTGCGCTACAGCTAAGAAGGCAAACATCTTCTGAGTTTCTGCCCAACCTCGAACTTTGACTTCGACGTTAATACCAGACTTGCAAAGAACTTCGACAGCATTTTGGGCAAAGGACGTGGGTGTCATCAAATTCGCTGGAGTATCCATTAACTGGCGGGCTAAATTCTGGGAAGCAGCTTTTTGCAAACCGATTTGCCAACCTGTCCAGTCACAGTCATCGTATAGCTCTAGCTGAGGAATTAGTACTTGATGTTTTTTGTTTTTCTTCTCTTGATATAACCAAACAGCAAGAGCCGCACCCTCAGCGGATGATTCCGCATGACCAAAACTTTCTGTGTATATTTTTAACACGTGCATTTTCTGGAGAGCTCGACAGGCTGTGCCACATGCCAACCTAATTGCTTCTTTACCCTCATCTATTTGTTCAAAAACGTCATAGCCTTGACATTCACGGCCTAAACCCACTACTGCTACCATACCAAATTCTTCATCTACATTGTAAAAAACTCTTACTTCGCCTTTCGTGGGTGGGGGTCCAGAATAATGTAGAAGTTCGTATAATCTATTGCAAACCATATAATTATATCTCTCACCGGTAGGTGTAAATTTTCCAGGATCAAAGTGGTCATCAGGGTTGGTATATAAACCCAAAACCAAACCTTTGTGTCGTAGAGGTTTACATGGATCTTCAGGTTTCTTCACACAAATGCCAGATTCGCCAGAGGTATGACGGATTATTGGGGAAAACCTTGGTCGTAATACACATCTTATTAAACGTAAGGGTAGAGCCATTGCAAAATAAATTATTAAATAATTATTCCATTACTCACAATTTATGTTAATTTTTGAAAGCATATTTTATTAGTCAAAAATAAAAATAGTTGTTGTTTATTTATTGGTTCCTTTGGCAATCACAATTTTGTTAAAAAAATGAAATAGTTGTCATAATTACTTGTCATCTCCAACATAATTACATCATGATCACAGTTTACGTTACGAGTATACCTCAATCTAATTTAATAAATGATATAGAAGACAGTCATAGTTCACACCTATCAACCGATTTTGTTTAATTAGTAAGAGAACAGTCATTATAAGTAGTATTTAATTAAGTTGGTAAAGTAATGATAGAAGTTCTATACCCAATATAATATGCTAAATAGAAATAGAAAGCATAAACTATTATGTTCTGTGCACAGGAAGAACGTATCTGTAAATTTCAGTGTATCAAATAAAGAAAATATTTTCAAAATAATTTAAGATTAAGTAAATTGCCTGGCCAGTCAAGACTCAAGACCAGACCAGCGTCTGGTTCGACTATATCACGTGATCAACGGTTTTATCGATAGGTCAGATTTTCAATTATAAGACTTTGGTGGTCTTGTCCGACCGTTATTCACTTAGCGCAGCTTAAGAGTATTTTGAAGAATTAGTCTGATAAAAGCGAGAAGGTATATCCTTCAGAATCAGTTGTCAAATTTTGAGACGTTTATGATTTTTTTAGTTCTTATTTCTAGCGATAGTATTAATTATAATCTATTACCTATACTGCATCATTTAGTAATATACAGGATATGAGTGTTAAATTCATTTTGTCGTTTATGATAAAATACCTCCTATCTATAGAAAATGTTACTGTACTCACATAGAAATGTATGTGAACTACGACACTGCATCTACTTGCTTAGCCACATGGCACTGATTCTAGACCCTACAACAGGTTCAATTTACAATTCTCTTCAATCTGTGTCTTTGGTTTTTTCGACTCATAGATCTAATATAGTAAAATCTATGGTTTGACCTAATATTTTCTGACATCGACATCCGGAATATTTTGACAATTTCAATTATTTTGACAGACCAATGTTTAATAAAAAATCTTAAAAATAAAACATTAAGGTTATTTTAACATGTCACGGTTCTGTTCAATAGTTAAATATAAAGGCTATAAAAATGTTCTAAAAAATATTAAGGTATTTTTATTAATTAACAAAAAACTGCATTTTATAGGTTATGACATCTGTATTTTTTAAATTTTAGGAGGTTGATTTTAAAACTTTTAAAAACTCAGAAAAAGTTGAAAAACTACTGAACGATGTAAGATATAGAGAGCCACATGTTTTAGATAAAATTAAGGTAAAGTTATGAATATATTTACAATATGCATATAATAAATTTTTCTTTTATTTATAGACCCGCATTTCAAAAATAGGTATTAAACTACAAGAAAATAATGCAACTTTGAGTTCATTTCAAAATGTTGTAGAAGAAAAGAAGTCTACTTCTTCTGTAAATAAGGTACACTTTGAACTCTAACATGTTACAGCATAACCTTTCTATTATATTGTGTATTATGTATTAATACTTACATTAATATTATACCTTTTTAACAGTGCATTAGACCTAGATATGTAAAGAAAGCAGCAGAAAAATTATGTGCCAGACTTCAAAGGTTTGCAAATGAGAAAACTTTAATTTTGGCGACGGCAGGAATATCTGTAGTGGATACAGCGAATACCACAAAAAATATCGAACCCATACCTGAACCGCCGCCCGTACCAGATTTATCTGAACAAATTGCAAGTCAGATAAATGTACTTGGAGAACCTACCTTTGCATCATTAGGTTTAGGGGGCTCTAGTCCTGTAGGTTTAGTTCAGACTTGTTTTGAATATGTTCATGTGACACTGGGTGTACCGTGGTGGACTTCAATAGCTATAGGTGAGTATATCTGAACACTAACAAATTAGGTATGTCAAGAGAAAACTGTTATATTATTTATTTATATTTTTTAGGGACATTAATTATAAGGTTATGTTTATTTCCTCTGGTTATAATAGCGCAAAGGAATGCCGCAAAAATGAACAACTACCTTCCACAGTTACAGGCACTACAATTGAAAATGACCGAAGCAAGGCAAACCGGCAATCAAATTGATGCTGCGAGATATTCTCAGGAGATGATGCTGTTTATGAAAGAAAAAGAACTGAATCCTCTTAAAAATATGATTGTCCCACTAGTTCAGGTATGTTTTTTTAAAGCATATAATTTAATTCTATCGCATACTTTGACCAATACAATATTAATGAGATAAGTTTACTCTGTGTATTTGCTTTAATACTTCACATATCATATTGAAAGTTTATAAATTAATTGACAAAAAACCATACATTATATCTTTTTGTCGTCGCACCTCTCAAATATTGAATTAATAATGATATTCCCGTAACACATTTTTAAAACCAGCTTTATAATATTATTTTGGTGACCTAAAAAAATAATACCTAGTTTTCCAATACTATTAATAGTCCAGTATACAACGGTAAAAATAGGGTATTACCTCCGAATTCTTGACACACGCACCGATTTTCATGAAAATTGGTGAGTAAGCTCATTTCATCCTCATTTACAAAAGTTACGTATCCATAATGTGTGCTTATTGTTTTTAGGGGGTGAAAATTTCCTCTTCTTGCAAAAAACATAAAAACCATAGATTTAAGTTTTATGTCAATAGAATAAGCATTCTTTTATGTTTTGAATAATAATTTTTTATTTGTAGCAACATATCAACCCTTAAAATCCACCCTTTATGAGGAAAAAAAAAACAAAAATTAGTTTTCGCGGCTCTGAAATGTTTTGACGGAGCAATAATGAATAATTGAATATTTTTTATTGTTTATGAAGTAGTACATGATTTATTGCAACGTTTCAACCTTTAAACCACCCTTATTGCAGAAAATAAAGCAAAAAGTTTTTTCACATCTTCATAGCATTTATAATGAATGAAAGACTCATCACTGTTTATAGTATTACTGATGATTCATTGCAACGTTTCAACACTTAAAAACAACCGTTAATGAGGAATTGAAGAATTTTTACCTGCTTCAAAACACTCAACGATACATTGTTAAATTCAACGAGATTACTTAGAACTCGAAACTTAAATTATGTAATTAGTGAAAGGGAAAATAAAAATTATTTGTGAATTATACAATTATACTTTATTATCAAAAATTTACATGATCCCACAATTTTCACTGAATAATACAATTCGTTTTAATATTTTTCATTGCTCCAAAAAGCAATTTGCAGGGAATTGCAAGAACTACAAATCAACCTTTATAGTTGAAGGGTCTTGAACTCTTCATTTTCGAGATTTTTAGGTTTTAAGGGCTCAAAGAATGTGGTCCTTACACGCAAATGCAACCTGAAAAACATAATGTCTCAGTTAATTTTTGCTGTACAGAAAAATTGAAAGAAAGCAAAAATATTATAAAAAAAAGACCTTCAATTTTGAACCCTTGCATTTTTCACGTATCTTGTTTAGTTTTTCAGTTATTTCGAAAAAAGGGTTTTTGTTTTTTAAATTAAATTTTGTTTTTCATTATTTCAAACTTTTCTTTTAATTTAGGCATTCTAAACTGGTCAAACTTGCAGAGCCTATTATTAGTACCTAAATAAAGTCAACTGTACATAGATTACGCTTAGTTACTATTTTTATGGTTCAGCCATAGATTTTATTGTTGATTTTTTCTCCGAAAAAATGAAATGACCATTTTATTTTCATCATAACTCCGCGAGTTTTTTAGCTATGAACTTTTTTCAAAAAGCATTTTAAAGGTCTATCCAAGCACTTTAAAAAAGGTTATATTCATTTTCTTCAAAAAATTTGTTCTTTCGCCATTATTTTACGGTAAAAGGTTCGATTTTACTTTCCGAAAAATAAATAGTCACCTTTAGAGAGTGATAACTCGGTTATTATTACATCTACGGTAATCAACAAAAAATGAATCTATTCGTTATTTCAAAAGCTTTATTTTTGCTCTGTATGGGTTTTTCGATAAAACGCAAGGTTTTCGAGTTATCAAAAATGGTTGAAAAACATGCACCTTTTAGATGAAAAATCAACATTTTCAATCGCAAATAACTCGGAAAATATTAATTTTTGGAAAAAACGTTATAGAGCATTTTTTGTTTAGAATTCATCCCTCTATTGATTTTTGTGATTAAAATGGGTGATTTCCTTGCCACTCCCGAAAAGGGATGGCATTCACCCCCAGGGTGAAAGCACACATCGGCACTATGTAGCTTTTGTTTCTTGAGTAATTTTCTACTCAATCGGTGTTAAAATTTCACGTCAATCGGTGCATGTGTCAAGAGTTCAGACCTAAAAACCGTCATATGCTGAGCTATAAGGAATATTACAATTTTGTTGAATATGTGCATAGTAATGCATTGGAAACTTTTTTATTGTAGGCACCCATATTTATTTCATTTTTTATGGGTCTCAGACAAATGTGTAATGCTCCTGTAGAAAGTTTAAGAACAGGAGGATTATGGTGGTTCACTGATCTTACACTTCCTGATCAATATTTCCTCCTGCCTATTATTACAAGTGCCACATTGTACGCTACAATTGAGGTAATATCATCTCTGCTAAATCACGGCAGTGTTTAAACGTAAGGTTTAGAAAAAACACAATTATCTTTCATTTTAGTTGGGTACTGATTCTGCAAAATTATCATCGCAAAATATGCAGCTGATGAAGTACGTTCTACGTGGCCTACCTCTGCTAATTCTGCCATTCACCTTTAATTTTCCCGGCGCCATTTTAATGTACTGGGTCTCCAGTAACTTCATATCTCTTATACAAGTTGGTGTTTTGAGAATACCAGCGGTACGAGATTATTTCAAAATTGAACCTCTGCAGAAATTTAACCCTGAAAATTTGCCAATTAAACCAAAGGGATTTAGGGAAGGTTTAAAAGACTGTAAGTAAAATCAATAGTCGGGCAACTAATATAGAATTAGTAAAAAACATTCTGTAATATAAATTTCAGCTTGGACCAATATTAAAATTACTAAAGAATTGGAAGAAAGGACAAGATTGGATGATATCCAGTTCCATCGGGCAGGTAGAGGCCCGATCGTTAAAACTTACAAGTACAATCCTACGAAACAAACACATCCCACAAAGTCAGCTCCTATAAGTGCTAAGAAGCGTGAGTGATTGTATTATAGATGAATAAGTAAAGTAATTTATAATTTCCTGGGTGTTTTATTTAAAACGATCTAGTGTTTTAAAATCTAATAATTATCGATAGAAACACATTATTAAGATTAAGATTCTTAAGGCTTTTCAGCTGAGAGAACTCGGTGCACACTCGTTATTGAGAAAACTGCAGCGGTTTTTGCCTTTTAAACTTTTTTTGAATGTCAATTAACACTTTCACTGCTCACTGATGGAAATTTCCGTCAAGCTGGACTCATATTCAATGCGGTCGACGGACGATTCCGGATAGCAACTCTTCACACGAAACTATATCTTTCATCCAAGACCAAAAAGAAAAATCAAGAGGATTGAAGTCCGGACTTTTGGGTGGCCAAGCAAAAATGCTCACATGGCCAATCCAGCAATTTGGAAAAAAAACTGCATTTAAATATGCACACACTGGCCGAGAAAAATACGGTGGAGCTCCGTCGTGCATGAACCACATGTCTCTTGTTAAATAAAGTAGAACTTCTTCAAGCTGAGGAAGCATTTTTGCTTGGCCATCCAGAAGTTCGGACTTCATCCTCTTGATTTTTCTGTTTGGTCCCGAATGACAGATATCGTTTACAAAGAATCTATTGGTTCGTATGAAGAATTGTGGCAAAGAATACAAATCGCTGCCAACGAAGTCAGATGCAATCCCAACATGTTGTTTCAAACTCGAAGATCTCTCAGAAAACGTCGTGTAAAGTGTATCAGTGTCAATGGTGGATTCTTCAAACAATTACTTTAAATCATTATTACGTAGGTATTTCATTTGTTTTATTGTTAATTGTTGTAACATGAAGAAACACTCAGTTTGCTTCGCTTTTACTTTCTCGTATTATCAAAACATAGTGTTCATTAAATCTTTTTTTCTCGAAAACGGATCGAGATATCGAAATTAAACAAGAGTATATAATTAATGGAAAAATGTTTGCTTTTTTCAACACTGACAGAAAATAATAATTTTCTTATTAACCTTAAAACTTCTTTCAAAATTTGGATCGTGTTTCTTAAAAATATTGTGAAATAGGCCATGACGTATCTCGAAACCATTGATGTTAGATTGAGGACTGGTGTTAAAATATTGATCGACGCAACTCGAAACGACGTTTATGTTTGCACTGAACGTGTTAAATGCTGTATTATTGTCGTTTGACTAAAGGATAGTTTCTTGCTGTTTGCACATTTTTTTCTGTTGTATGTAATGGTTGTAGCTATATATTTAAAAATATTCAATTAGGACAAAGTGAACCAGAATATGCTTTTTGTCTTTATATTTCCACTTATGATATAAATCCTGTTTCTTTAATTACGATCAAGATACCTACTAAAAAGTGATTAGTATTCAGCAACATTCAAATGCCTCGGGAATTTGGTCACCTTGCTTCTTATATTTACCTCATTAAAATATTTTAACACTACACCAACACAGCTGACAGATATAAAATGTTTAAAAATTAAATTTGAAATGAAAGTGATGATTTTATTTACAAAACTATATTCACTACAAGTTTCGTTCAAAAAATACATTTAAAATTCCATATTTGACTTTTTCCTGCTTTTTCGAGTCCACTATTTCTAAATATGTTCTATTAATTTCTCAGTTTATTTAAGTTTTAACTTTATTAAAAACTAGTTGACCAGACGTCCTGTTCAAATTTCAATAAATTTGTGGTTGTTTTGTAAATTTGTGAAAAGCTATTGAAAATGTGTAAGCAAAGTAAAAATGAGAATAAAACATATTTTCGAGTGATTATTGTATCTATTAACGATTGTGGCCTTGGGTATTCAATTTGAGTACATTCAGAAGTATGCCAATGGGAAATACATGCATTAGGCTAGAATGCATTTTTCTCCAGATCTTCCAGATTTGTTTTCAATTGAAAATATTCAATCAAGTTATTTCCATCACAGGAGCATAACGAACAAAACAAAAAAAGAAGAATCAACCAAATATATAGTTCCTATCGTCAGTTATGAAAACTTTTCCAAGATCATCACAAACAAAACAAATACAGAATGTCACGTCACTCGAATCGTGAATTATGAGTTCATACAAAAATTCCATAGAAGCACTTTGTTTTCCCTGAATTTTCCAATTTCCCTAAAAACCTTATTCGGAGTATTACAAACATTTAAAAAAAATTTTGCCAAAGTGATGCATTTACCAACAAACAGCATTTAATTTTTAATTTTTAATACTTTTATTTTCACCCTTTTGCAATTTTTAAATTAGACCGACATATTTTTCTTAGCTAATTGAATGTAGTATTTCCAGCTCAGGGACATAGGACATGAGGACATAAATTATTACAAACTTTTTTATCGTTACACATTTTATTTACAAAACTCTATATTTATAAAAATTCATAACACTGTGGGATATGTTCCATTCAAAAAATAAACTAGCAAAATAAAACACAACAAACCAGGGTATTGGCGCTAAAAATACCCTGGTATGGTTTAATATTTGCAAGGAATTGTAACCTAAAAAGCTTATATAAACATAATAAAATGCTGCACCTAGCCAGAACATATTTCCTAGTAATATCGACACGAACAGATCTTTGCTGATTAACCAGTTATAAAAAAATAGCTGAATGAAATGTAACAAAATTAACGGCGGAAAGAAAGCATTGAAGTGCATGTCAAGTGAAAAACCCCATTCTATATCTCGCAAATTAATTTTCGGCTTCATGAAAGTGTTTGTTAGATACCATAAAATTGTAGCTAATATTAGTCCTATTCCAATAGTATCGACAAAGATTACAAAGAACAGAAATTTTATAAATTGCATAAATGACAAATTAAGCACAATAGAAATACCGACAGATGTTAGACAAAGCACTCCTGAAAATAGAACTAAAAAAGCTGGATCATCCCTGGCGTACTGAGACTTTGTATATTTTCTTGCTTGAAACATTCTTATCAGTTTTTGTGGTGACACGAATAAATAAAGCATTTGCCAAAACGCAAACTGAAAGTCCATTTGATCATATTTGAAAATTCTACGCATATATCTAATGGACTTACTATATGCAGATGAAATGCTGCATTCCGATAATGAAGAGTTCAAATTGGTGTTGGTATAACTCATCGTTGCAATTAGGCTCTTGCTCTGGGGGCAATGCACTGATTTATAACCTTAATTAAATGTGTGTTTTCCAATGCAGCTGCGACTCTTTCTTTGTCTGCAAGTTGTTTGTTAACTTGTTGCTCAGCGTTATGTGTGCCGGGTGTCACTTCCACTGTAACTTTGAATCTAGTAGGCAAACAACGTAACAATTTCACTCTAATGGAAAGGCCAATCAACGTCGCCATGCTACAGTGGGGAATTGTTGGAGTAAAGTTAACAAATATTTTATTATCACCATTATTTACGTGGACTAAATCCTCTTGGACAACATGTAATTGTTCTAATGTAAGGGGATGTTCAGGGTCGTTGATATCTCGAATAAGATCTGAAATAAGGACAGAGGAAAAGTGTGTATTATCTGCTTTGTTTTGCCTTCTTACCAAACACTTCTCTATTATCAAACTCATCTACAACTGAATCGTTCTCTTCCTCTAATGTGGCCGATCGATCAGCGCTCTTATGATAAACACTCGGATTTTGATTTTCTAACTGGTCGAATGGCATAATTATATTTTTCACACATTAAACATTATAACAAAGTGGTAAAATCTCGATCGCTAATGTAAGTAAATCACAAAATATTAAAAAATGTCAAAATTACTGTTGATGTAGCGCAAATCAAATAATGATTTTCTAGACAACCGTCAAAATTGACAGTCCTTGAGCGCAGACATCATAGATTAGTAAAATGTTTTATTTTAGAGATGTTCTCTACTTCCCAACAATTTGCGTTACAACAGCGCCTCTTTTGACGCGTTCCTTACTACACGAAAATGATCTTTCAAAATAAACGTTATTTAATTATTTTAAATATACAGGATGATCGGATATGACAAACCATTAACACAATACGTGAAAAGCAAGTAACGGTCTATATTTTTTTCTAGTCCCCAAATAGGCACATATTTAGAAATAACTTTTTCAAAATTGCAATTTTCTAAATTGTATTAATTATTTACTTAAAATTTAGTAACCACGTAATTCTACAGCCCTTAAGTGTTCTACTAAGATTATTTTTTCCAATTTTTTAATATTAATTCATATAAATAAAACAAAATATTGAAATAAATTTCAGCTCATTCAAGTCAATCAATCCTCTTGCAAATCAAAGCCTGCCAGATAAACACAGCAACTGATTTTTTTTTAAATGGACCTTTCTGTAGCCAACTGAAACTGAAATGTTGCTCATAATTTTTTGGTAAAACATGTACTTACCTGTTTTTTTTTGGCCTCGTACTACATGCGGATACACAACAGCGGACAACTACTAAGCATTAGTGAATGGAAGGAAAAAAATTAATAACAGTATAAATAAGAATATATTTCTAATACACTTCATAAAATAATAAAAATATACTTAACTTAAATTTTACATTTGAATTAAAGAAATATATAGAGCGTAGATTATTAGCAATGTTAACCTGAACGGAACTATAACATTTATATGGATAAACCGGCCTTTTGACGGCACTTTTGCATCAAAGCGCGGAGTATAAATTGCTTCCTGGACAATGTCCTGACCTGTCTAAGAAACACATCGAGGTCGATTACTTCACATCTTAAGGCTTCGCCCATATAATAAATAGCATCTTCTAAAGCTGCTTCTTCAGCAAAGGCATTCAGCAGTCTACAAATACAATTTTTTATTTACAAACACATTAAAAATGATTTTCTATGAATAGGATAAGTTGGAAATTCAAATTTAACGTAAATAAAAAAATAATATTGTGAAATTAAAAATTAGTAAATAATATTTACTGTTTATACAGTGGGGCAGTAGTAGTCACAGCATCGTCTACGTCTATTGATTCCTGATTACTAATTCTTTCAATTGCACTATTCAATTCTTGCTCCTTATCTTTTAACAGTGTAATATTTTTATCCAAGTCATTCTAAAAGAAATTATTATTAGAACACGTATGAAGTAACAAGTACTAACCTATTAGCTTTGAAATAAAAATTAAAATTATTTCCCGTTTCTCATAAAAAATATTCGAAAATATTTTTTTAAGCACCGTGTTCAGTTTGTGAATCTTTGCCAATGACCTCTGATCCTGACCGAGATTAGGTGAAATACATAATATCAATCTATGACGTGTGACAAGTGGATGAATTTGGCAAAAAAATAATGAAAATTATTTAATTCAGTGTTTAGGCATAATAAGATGTGTTTGAGATTATAATTACACGAAAAATATTTTTAAAATGCAGTTTTGATAATGGAATTTGAGAAAGCAAACTTATGATGTGTGTTTCTAAAGTTCGAAGGCGGCAAATATAAATATATAAAAATGACCCCATTCAAAGTAATAAAGTAGCGATGCAAAAAATAAACAGTTCAGTCCTCACCTAATAATGAGATATTTTTACCTGTTCCTTCTCCAGTCTAGTGAGAATATTGTCCAGCTTTGCTTTTCCCTGCTTCAATTCCTCTTGCGTTCTTTTAAGAGTCTCCAATTCAGCCTGATTCTGTTGGAATTGTTCCTTCATCCGTCTCATCAATTTTTCCTCTATGGCGGTAAGCAGAGATTCACGAATATGTTCGTCTTTTATTGTGCCGGTACCAACCGCGGGACTCGGACCGCCGAAATTATTACCCGGGTATGGTGGATAGGGAGTTGTGTAAGGTGGATAGCCCGGAAATGAAGCGTTGCTTGATGGGGGATACGGAGGGTACCCCCCGAATCCGGTCGATGATGGTGGGTAAGAAGTTGGGGGATACGGTGGGATGTAACTTCCTGAAGGTTGTGGCATGAAAGCTACAAAGTATAAAGGGTGTATATAACTTCAAGGGATTTTTCCTTGTATAATTTTATGAACAATAATCTAAAACCACTTGCTTCGCCAACAGTTCTTGGCGAAACAACAACATTATGATGACACTATTGTTTAGACATGGCCCCTGTGACTTTTTTCTATTTTCCAAACTCAAAAGGATACTCAAGGCAATTTTTCTCAATAATAGACGAGATAAAGGCAAAATAAGTTTTTGATCAAACCTCGTACAAATGTATATACCTAAAATGGTAAACATATAAAACTATACACATTTAATATATTCTGTTCAAAAATCAATTCCCTTCTAGAGAAAAAAAAATGTAACGAACAAAAATTACTTAAAGCATTTTTAATTATTGTTTTTATATGTATAGATATTTTAATAAAAACACAAAAGTTACAAAAACTTTTTTTTTAACTATCCTTAACTATAGAATTTTATATGTTTCAATTAATTTGCTTTTTTGAGATTTAAGTAATAGATCATCTACAACATGCAGATAAGACTCATTTTCATTTGTGACATAATTATTCACTCTAATTTGTAGTGTTTAATTTCAATGTCATTTATTAATCTGAATTTATTGTTTGTTAAAAGATTATGTGTATCAAGATTACAATCTGGCAAATCTGAACTGGGAAGAGAAATTATTGTTAGAAAAGTTAACAATTTAAATTTATGTTGATGGATCGAGTAGGTATAATAAAAATAACTTACAGTTAGGGGGATAAGGCATATCATTGTCCTTAGCCTTTGCAAACACGGGTGGTTGTTCTCCAAAAGTAACTATAAGAACTTGTATAAGTCCTAGTAAGTCCGACGAGTTCTAAAAATAATAAATATTTTACCTAATTGCAGATAATTATAGAAATGACTAAATAAATGATACTTAAATCTTGTAAACAGTGTTTTATGTTTAATTTGAACGTGTTTATCTTTATTATTTGTCAGTGCTAATTTTTAGTCTTTATAAAGTTAGAACTGGCAGTCAATTTAATAAAATATTTGCAATATAATATTTAGTTTGAAAATACATTTTGTATATACTCACAGGTAACCAGTCATGTAAATAAGGCAGATATATTTTTCCATTTTGATCAACAAACATAGAAACTTTTATAGACATATCAGGAGTAGGTTTGACGTAACAAATAGGTGCATTTTTTGGATGGGTATCGATCAACCAAATACAAATTGGTATGTTATAGACAGATCCTCTATAACGCACTGGAATTGTCCCGCTTAAATTTACTAGTTCTATGCGAGAGCCGTCATTAAAAGCTTAAAGACAAAAATTTATAACATTAGTTTACTGAAAAAAACATTCGTACTTTGTACAAAATATAATTGCTAACTTTAAGATTACTCACTATAAATATCTTGCTCAGGGTGTAAACCTCTATATTGATTAGTAACACTGAGAATTTCTCTGTATGCAACATCAGGATTATGATACTGAAAAAGTTTATATTAGTTGAGAAAAATGATATCTATATGTTTAATACATTTACATTAGAAAGCCATTGTCTTAGTCTCTCGGTGTCAACCATTGTGTTTAAATTCTATTAACAATAATTATAATTATAACAAACTGTAAATGTCACTTATGTTACTAATCTTAATTTTAATCATTTACCGTCGTCACAACATATACACTTCATTTGACGACTCAAATTCTTAATTTTGACACTACTATTATGTCAATTCTATACTGTCATTTCACAAGATTCCTATTGATTTCCATTGTGTTGCTCGAGTCTTGAGTCTTCTTCTTCTTCTACACAAAAACTTCAGGCCAAAGAGTTAAAGAGAATTCTGTTGATTAATATCATATTGAACTAAAATCTAAAGTACAAATTGGCAAAAAGATTAGTTACCCTACTTCGGGGCCATATAAATGCTATTATTAAGCAAGCTCACTAATTAGCAACAATTTTGCTCTTAAAATCATAATAGATATGAATAAGAGCTTTCCGTTTATAAGACCATTAATGATCCTTGTCGCTGAAGGAGCGACTTGTCAATAATTATTGAGTAACTATTTTTAATTTGACTCAGATTTTTTCAGAATTGAAATAGTCTTTTATATAACTGAAAATTGATATACACAGTGACCCATTTTGAACCTGAACACTCTGATCAAAGATGTATAGTCTTTCCGATCTCAATAAATCAAGAACCAAGAGGTTGGCAGTATGTACCAGGTTCGGTTGCTGACGCAGCAACTCGGCTTTGAAATATTTGAAAAACTTGCTCCCATATTTATTTATCCATACCTATATACAGGTCTGATCGAACTAAATCTGTAGATTGTAGAACCCCAGTATTATATATAATGCACACGCGGGCAAACGATGTATACAGACAGCCGAACTGGCCTACTGGGCAATAAATCTCAGCTGTTGATAAGTGACTGACAAATTGCTAACAGCGCAGTGCAGCAATGCGGAATTTGGTGTGATTTAGGTAATTTTAATTTATTATAGGCACCTTCTGTTAATCATTCATATTACAATTGCGAAAGGGAGAAATAAGAGGGACATTTTGTTTACTAAAATTACAACATGGCATTTTGGAACGAAATTTACCATCAATATAATAAAATTGTTCGAGGACATAAATAATTAAATTATGTTGGCCAAATGAACATAATAATAGAAATTTTCTACACATTTTACAAATTATAATACATTTTTACCTTTAGTGAAAAACTTTTTTAGGCGATGAAACTCATTAAATTTTATTGCTAGGCGTTTTTATACATGTTCCATTGACTTCGGGAAGGCTGTATTTATTAATCCCCTTTGGCCTGATTTTTTTTTAAAGATACTAAGAAGAATACTAAAAGCTGTCCTTTTGAACAGAACGTCATATTTAATATTTAAGAAATAGTACGTATTTTTTTTTTAGATAAAATCTGAATATATCCTTTTCCTTAGCATCCTCTTAAATTGGTACGTAGGTACGAAAAAAACTTTTGTTTATACATCGGTATGTAATTAAATTAAAGAACAGAAATAAATTCGTAAATGTGTACTATGTGTACCTAAATGTGTAATTCTAATCTGTCACGTTATTAGGAAGAAAGGATCTGGAAATTGGATAAGTTTTATAAAAATAGAGTATACTAGAACACGGACACACTGTATATATATATATATATGCATCCTTGTATCAATTTTGCGTCCATGAGTAGGATAAAACGTATCAATTTTGCGTCCGATGTAAAAATGCGTCCGTATAACGGACGCAAAATTGCAATCTGTGTTATTTCGTCCAATGTTGTTTTTTTTTTGATGAAATGTTCCTTTAACAAGTGAATCATGCGCCCTCTATACGTGTTAAAATTTTAAAGCAGATATAAAAAGTAGTCTAGGAGATATTCTAAAAAAGAATGTCGAAAGTTGGTCGTAAAATAGATACAAACTTAACATAAATACTAATGTGATGTATATTGTTAGTTTAAGCATTGGCCGTCCAGATGTCTCTATAAGGATATACTAATATACATTCTCATGGTACAATTGTATCCATTTTGCGTAATTTTAACTTGGCAACATTGTAAACCTAAAAGTGCTGTGCAGTGATAGATCATAAATTCAGTACGGTTATAGTACAATTTTCAGTATTCATATAACTAACACTTTGCTCAGCCCGTCGCGCACCGTGCGTGATTTTGGTATTTAGTACTGTCAACTGATTGAACATGTACATACGATCTAATCTAGCTTATGCAAAATATTTAGCATTTTGAACTATTAATTTCTTTTGCGTTATTAAACAATTACTTATTTAATTATTTGTTAAGATAAATATCATGTAGTGTATTTAAAGAAATAATAATAATTAACGATTATCAAAAACTCTAAATTTACAAATAATACAATTAAATATAACCCAACACAAAAACGTATACAGGGTGTTTTTAAATGAATTAGCAAAAATGGTATCAGTGAATGTAGAACCAAAAATAAGAGGATTGAGGTAAAAATACCTTATATGAAAGTTGCACCCCTGAGGCGATATACCCTCTAAAGGAGGGAATTGAAATTCACATTTTAATTTTTTTCTTTAACATGAGGAATGCTAGAGACACGAAGCTTGGTATGAGAATCCTACTAATAAAGAGACAACTTTTCAAAATTTGTTCGATCATTGGCGTATTTTATAAAGGAGTCAAACAGTCAACCCCATTGCAATATTTTATTAGAATTTTTTTATATGAAGCAAATTATTTATTTAAAAATATTTATTGGGGAGACTGACTTATTGCGCAACTTTTTTACCTTTTGTAATTTTTCGATAAAACCGATAGTTTTCTAGTAAAAAAAATAGATGCGTCATCGTTCACTAAAGGGGTAATTGCGAAAATTTGTAAAAGTAANATGTTGGGGAATTGGTTCTCCATAAGCACACTTTATATAATGGGTAGAACATTCAGTTCCATCTGGGTAAAGTCCGAACTGGTATTCGCATCCCGGACTGCTGATTGGAGTCACTGAAAGTTTAAAGGACAGTTTTATCTCCCGAAATCTGGTGTCATGATTTAGAAACACCATGTAGGATTTTAATTGTCAATGTTGCGAGAAACAACTACTCCGAGGGCTATATGCCCCTACCGGCATTGAATTATACTCGCAACACCTAGTGCAACAGCTAGGGTCGTTCGTCAGTTTAACTCGGAGTAGTTGCAACACTGACAATTCAAACATTGTGCTACGCCCTCTGTGGGTGGCAGTCATGCAACAAAGTACCTGCAATATAGCAGGTCGCTTCCTACTGTAGCCATTTGAATGGCACAGTTGGGAGTCAGCACGACAGATGGAGCCATTTGCGCTCCCGCGTACACCATGTAAGATGTTTTCTGGGTCCATGTCAAACCTTTAGGAGTCGGGTCGTTTAAAAGCAAAAAGCTTCGATTCATTTCGTTTTCCACTTCATTCATACTGAACACTTGAATCGTAGTATTTTACACATTTTTTTTCTTAATCTTTAATACTAACATGACACTTTGTACTCATTTTTTCATTAATATTTCGAAACAGTTTTCAAAAAATGTTTTTTGATACACAGTTGCGAAGTCGTTTTCACATTCTCGAATGTTTTTTTAAACAAAATGACTGTCCATTTTTGAATACAAAAGCAGTACTTCGCAGCTATAATCAAAATTAATAAGTTTTATACATATATCAAGCATTATTAGAAATTAAATGCACTTTTCCAATGTCCAAAATACCCAGTGGCGTCGAAGTTATTATTATTATTATTATTATTTATTTTTTTTTAGAAAAAATTTAGTAAAGAGTACTTACAGTCAGCCTTTCTGTGTCCGCAGTCCACAGCCCAGTTATAGTTGCAGTGGTTGTGCACGGCACCTTTACCGTCGAACAGGAGTCCATTTTCGCAGGTTTCCACGGTTAGGGTGCCATTGGTGCAGAGGAAGAAGAGGTTACAAGACTCCGGATGGGCGTATGCCTGCACTCCGTGTTGTTCCGGGCAGGCCGGGGCGTTTTGAACCAAGATACCCCCATGCGCTATAATTGAAAAAAATTCCAAATAACACATACAAATAAAACAGACATATATAAAACATGGTACACTTTTATTTTCGGATATTTTATTGACATCCAAATGTTCACTGGAAAAGTATATCTTATATGTCAATTCTGTATATCGGGTATTTTTTTTTAGAGTAAATGGTGTCAATTATGTAGGTAGGTATTTGCATAAATCAAATATATAACGTTAAATTTTTTAAATATTCGAACTAAATGTAAAAGGATTTATTATGTGTTTAAAAGGTGTTTTTATTAATAATAATAAGCATCGACAAGAATCAAAATTGTTGAAACTGCAAAACGGCGCTTGTAATTAACAATAATCAAAGTTGTTATAACTTATTGAGAACTTGTGGAATCGTCTCCGAGTTACGTACTACACAAAAGGAGGTAAATATATGTGGTCGTAAATTTTAGTTTAATCATCAGTTCTGATTTAGTTTTCATTAGGAAAACTGGGAGATAACATCTGTATTATTGTAACCAAAGGCAGAACTATCGGTGGAGTTAGCGGTTCCAAAAAAGTTTTCATCGTATCAATATGATAAGTCAGTGGGTATTAAAATGCTTATATTCTATCCGAAAAAAAATATTTTTATCAAGCGTTATTGTTTACACCATAATCTTGTATTGTACATTTTATGTAGACGAGATGTCGACCACAAATCACAAGTTATATTAATTGAATACAATTTAGTAAACAATTTGTATCTATTGGATTTTTTAAAGCATAATTTCAATGAATAAAATTTAAAACTGTGATAGATTAGTTTAGATCAGCGGTATTCAAACTGTATTCTGGGGAACTCTAGGATCCCCTACAACGAGTACTTTTCTTCAAACCATCCTATTACTACACGGGTGGCTTGGTGGCAAAGTCTCGTACAATTTTTATGTATGAAAGCAATGGTCTTGAGTTACAGATATTTATTGCTCTATTCTCATTACCATTTTATCGGGGACCACACACAGGCGGAAGGTGTTGAGCGACCCAGGTCTCTGGTAGGATGCCACAGCCACGTCCCCGAGCCTGCCTTAGGTCACCCATCCAAGTTCCAGCCTGCGTCCGTGATGCTTACCTAGGCCGATCGAAATCCATCGGCCAAGACACCCGGCTAGGCGGTCAATATTTGATAATATTAATACATTGTTTTTTTAATAATAACCTATATGTATTACGTTTTGTCTCAGCGTTACTAGTAGTAGCAGTTTCCATTTTGTAATTTAAACTTGTTGGTGTCGCAATATGCACTACTAACTTCTCTGACGAAGGTTGCAGTGTTAAATAAAATATAATTACATCAATATTGGTGAATGTTTTAACATTTTATGCTGTGATTTATAACAGAATCATAGTTCCTTGAACAATATGTTTTCGTTTATGGTATTGGCGGAAGTATATAAAATAAAGTTATTAGAAACACCCTATACATTTTTCATGTATACAGTGTGTCCACAGATGGAGTTGAAAAGGGGGAAAGCTTTTTTATTTTCCGTTTTCCGGATACAGATTGTTGAGGTTTCTAAGAAAAATGTTTTTCCGATTATGTTATGAATTTTCACGTTCATATATTCACCAGTGGCGTACGTACTGGATAAATTTTACTATTTTCTTAAAAAAAAATAATGACACCAATGTATTACTGGCAATATCCCACCATTAGAATATGTACATACGCATTGTCCCAAATATGCAGATTGTGAAAATTAACTACTCTTCTGGTGAATTTCATCAATTCACAATATTTTCTTAAAAAAATTGGATTATTTCTCACAGAAGTCAAAAACGGGTTTACTATCACCTGTATGTAAAATTTCAACAGGTTGCAAATGGTTTACATACAAAAGTAATGGAATTTTGTTAGACTCAACTTTTACTGGAAAACTGTGCAATCTAGGAATAATATACTAGTTATTCTTATTAAAATATCTGAGGATTTTAAAAATAGTGGAATATTTCTATTAAAACACTGGCCTGTCATTTTTTAAGAAAACAGTAAAACGCATCCAGTAAGTGCGCCACTGGTGAATCTATCACTGTGAATTATACTTTGTTTACATTCATCGTGTAATACACCAACAAATTTCATAAGGAATACTTGTTTAGAATTAAAATATATTTCCATACTCCAAATTTAAAAACCTACTTGATTTTTTCTGATTCTCTATGTTGTACAGGTGAAGTCCTGTTTTTTGTAAGGGATCGGGAAAAAATTTATTAGAAATTATTCTCTTTCTGAAATATAACCGATAGAACACATTAAAATATGCCTTGCTTTAAGTCACACTTTGCCAGAAATTATCTAAACAGTTAAAGCTATAAGAAGAGGTCAAACAGATAAAGGATAAAACAAAAAGGAGTCAGTGTCATCTCATTAAAACATTTTGTAATTATTAAAGAGTTTGTGGTTCATAGAATTATAGTGAACTATAAATTGTTGGTTCTCAAAAAAGTGTTATTGCCCTGTACAGTGCAGTGTTATAGGAAGTTCTGCGGAAGAGTTAGACAAGTTAGTAGCCAAGTATTTATTTATTTAATACTATTTTCTTTCTAAACGTTGTTGACAAGCTAGAGCAGGCGAAGTCAGTTACACAATTATCCAAGATGCTTCTTCTCTGTTGTGAAAGAATAGGTTTCACCATAAAGTAGTTGTCGACATCGAAGATGATTTAATTGTTGGATTTAATTTGGTTCGTTTGAATAAGTCAAAGTTTTAATAATCTAGTATTCTGAGGTTCCAAAATTAAAACATCGATTTTATACTCCCCAAAAGTTATAGGGTTTTAGAGGAAACCTTAATTAATAGTTTATTTCAATAATGACACAACATTTACAAGGAATGTGATAAGATATTAACTGATTAAGTGGAAAAAGCTACAGATTTTAATGTACAAGGATTTTCACATAACATTCTACTTTTCTTATCATTTTTGACCTTCCATCTATTAAAAAATTGTTAAGACTAAGGTTTTAGAAAATTTTCTTACCCTCTCAAACTTTCATAAAAAACAATTGAATTAATATTAGAGGCTTTTCGGAATTCCTTCCCTTTTATAATTATTACAGTGGTACATATCATATATGCTTTGATGGTTTACAGAATATTTTGAATTATTTACTGATCCTCCGCAATAGACAATATCAAGATTGCTTTGGAAACAATGCGTATTTACTCTTTTGCGGTAATAAATTACTAAGATTTTCAAATAAAGAAGAAAATACCCTGTAAACTTCTACACTGAGATTGTTGCAACTGTCAAAACTTTAGTACTGCATTTGTATGGAAACGTATCCAAATATATAGGGTGTTCTTTTTAAAAAATTAAGTTTGGTTTGTTTCGACGCAAACATATATTCAATTCCTTTTCCACATTTTAAAAAAAGTCAAAATTTTTTGTCTGTAGTCGAGGTAGAATGTTTCCTGATTGTCTCTATACATATACAATCGAAAACCTAGTCTCCAATTATTATGGTTATAAATGACAGATTTTTTAAGAAAAATATTTATCAGATATATATATATATATATATATATCTAATATCTTTAATGTTTGTATGCTCACTGTTCAGGTAGTACACATTCAATCATATCATTAATTCACGCTTTTTTAATATAAATTTTATCCAGGAAATCCAACGCCGCCAGACAGCTTAATTGTTTTGTGGGGTGGCTATACCCACGTGCCCACATGGAAACGTTGTTATCACGGTGCCAACCAGTCATCATCATAACAAATTCTGGGTAGGGCAAATATGTGCTGCTTTTTAAAATAATTAATTAAAGAATGAATAATTAATTAACTCCGAATCATGAAACTATAAATCTACTCGATAATGAAGTTTTGTTGAAAGAAATTGAATTTGTCTCTTTTTTCTGCAGTGGTAATTTATCTAATATATAAATCATTAAAGTAATACTCTAGCGAACGAAGCCAAGAAACGTAACCTGACAATCTCGATAAAGACACTTATTTATTCCTACTGAATATTTTCAGTTACTGTTTAACTAAGATAATCACTTTCTTATACACATTATTTTACAATATAGGTACTAGCTACAGAATTTTCATAAATGTTTACAAGCCACGTGACCTCTGAGCTTAGGCAACCAACAATGCACGGCTGGTACCGACAACTGAAAATCCCTAAATCTTCACCGATAATAATGATTCGTTTGCAAAACCAATGACATTATTCTCAGAAAATGATTTAACAGTTCTTTTTAAAGAAATACCAGTCGATGTACGTCAGGGCTTATGGTATTTATGTTATTTATCTTGTATTGTATAAGAATATTTAGATACTAATGAATTTCTTGGTAGGTGAGTAAGATGCTGTGGTCCGGTTCCACTGAATTTTCGTTTCACAGGTTTAACTTTTTTTTTGCGATTTTATTTCTGGGAAATAAATTTCCTGAAGTCAGCGATGCTAACTGATATAGGGTATATTCGAAGCTTTTTGGATAATCAAACAAGTTACAATTATAAAACTCTAATCCGGGAATAGTGAAGAATTTCAGAGAATTTGGATGTTTAATGGATATGAACATGTACATGGCATTTTTCTCAATTTATATAGTATCTACTTTTCAATTCGTCATAATACGTACGCCATTTTGGATATAAGCATTTCCGAATTAAAACCTTAACAATCATTGAACATGGCAGTACACCATTTGAGATATTTTAAAAAGTTTACCTTTTATTTATTTTTCAGTAATTGTTAAAGTTTTTTTTATAATAATACAACAATAAGAAAATGTTTTGCTATAGTTAAACTACTTAAATATACAAATAGATACAGCGTAGCTTGTTGATTTTCATGTAAATGGTGTTTTGTAGGAGGTTGATTATTCCTGGTATAATTAATTATATTGTGTTTCATTTATATAAAGTTGTAAATATACTTTTTTTCTCTAAATATCGAGACTGTTACGAAGGAGTAGTTATAGTGTATCTGCAAAAGGTTAAATACATATTTTTTAGTACATTCTATGTCTGATTCCAATTATTTACATATAAAATTTAACTGTAATAACATTGAAGATCAAATAGCTATGTCAAAGCCCTCAACAGTTAAACTTCCTACTACTAACTACTATGGTCCTGGCAAAATGTTGCGTGATACTTTAAATTAAAAATTGCACGTCAGTTGTATCAAATTAAAATAAAAATAACCATATATATTCAAATGCAAATAAAGTGTCAATTATGTTCTACACTTACTTAGTAAAAACACTTTTTAGTATTGATTAAAAAGTGGTTCTTAGAAATTATTGACAAAATATTTCAGTTGCGTTATTAAATAATCCACAAAACATACTCCCATACCTGTTTAAACATGAGTTTAATTGGTATTAAAAATGTTGGAAAACAGGATGAAACAATTATTTTCTTACATGAAAAAATATATAGAAGCTAAGATATAATAAGCTGTTATAGAGGGTGTTTCCTAATTTCTAATAAGGATATTTTAACAAAAATTAAAATGTCCAAAAATTGGTCCTTTTAATACTGCAAATTACTTAGAAAGGCCTTTTATATTTTATTCGAATACCTACAACATTACCGTTTTCACTGTTTAGCACTCTTATTTTAGATATTAAATTTTTAATGTTGCACTAAAATTTTTAATTGAAAATAGTTTTCTAAATACTAAATACACATTTACCCCCCATTGCAGTAATGGGGATAGATAGATAGAAATTCTTGTGGTCGAAATTCTTCTTTGTTGTGTTTATGTATCACGTATTAATGATAAAATGTAATATGTGGTATTAAGTGTGGTATAACTATATTAAGAAGCCTTAGATTAATATTGTCAGAGCCTTTAGCTTGAGGTTTTTTGATACTACTTATTGTTCTATTTACCTCCTCAGTTGTTACTTCAGAAAACGAAAACCCATCATCAGGAAAAATTGTATTGTACTTATCTATAACTGCATCAGTAAACTGATATTAATTAAATTTATTGAGGAATATTATTGACAAGAAATTAATTAAATGATTGTGAGTCAAATGGGAAAATTACCCACTTAACATTTTTCAGTTTCTGACATGTTTCAGAAACGTTTCCATTTTTCTTGAAACGTTTCATAAAAAATCCATGCAACGTTCTGGTAACGTTCTAGAAGCCCAAGATGTCCTCCCCAAAATACGTTTCCAATGAAACGTTTCAAAAAATTGGTTTCAGTAACATTCTTTTTATGTTCCATTTATGCCCTCGATATTTTTGTTTTACGTTTCAGTATATTTTCAGAAATGTTTGAGTAACATAATAATTTTATTACCATATTGTTCTCATAATGCTCTCAACTTTAGATCATTTTCATTTCAAAAGCGTTTTTGAAATAGTATAAATAGTGTGAGTATTTTTTTAAATATCTCTAATACTCCTTTGTGATATTTTTATTTGTATTGTGAATGACTTAATTCGAACTAAAAAAAGTTACATTGTATATTAAAAAAAATAAATATGCTCTTCTAGTTTGGGGATGCGGCAACTTTTACTAAGAATTTCTTTCTTTTTGAGAAGCCACTGAAAAAAGTTTCTAATATGGATTATGAATTTTGCCATTCATCGTACAAATAAAAATATCACAAAACAATATCAGAAGCATTAAAAAAAAGCTACACATTTTATATAGTTCAAATACGCTTCTGAAATGGAAATTTTCTAATGTTGAGACCTTCATGAATATGGTAACAATGACGAACTGATAATTAGAAAAAGTTAGTTATGATTATGAATCTTAAAATGGTAGGTACATGAAAAACAAATAACATTACTGAAAAATAATATAAAGTTATAATTTCTTCTACGCATGGTCAATATTACATATATCCTTTTAATAATAATAAATTATACAGCAGAAATAAGGATACAAAATGATATCTTGACAAAGTAAATATCTGTAGGTATACCTAAACTCTTTTATTTAAGCATGCCTATACACATAAACAAATATAAACATTTGTACAAAATATAAAATAAATTACGTCTATTTCACTTGAATCATCCATATTTCAAATAGTTCTCACTGACTAAGTAGTTGCTCTTCAAATTATATCGAAACGTATAGTTGTTGTTCCATTTCCTTAGTTCTTGTCCCTTGTCCTCTTGTTTGTAATAGTAGTGGGTATAACTATATTTAGGTAGATGTGACGCAAAATTGGAAATCTCTTTACACATATCGTTTTAAACATTTTGCATCAATATTCATTATTTTATATGCACCTAACAATAACCACAACTGCACACACTACAAATTATCACATAAAATAGCGTCAAAGTAGAGATGAATAACAACGAAACCAATCAAACTGACAAACCGCAAACCTAACCTAACATAATACGAATTGAAACGACACACGGGAAACAACGCGCGCAGTCTACGCAAGTCAGAACATACATTTTTTCTAGACTTGTATTATAAATATGCTACCACATTTTTTTTTTCTAATTATGTCTTTATATAACAAAGGCAAATGAACTAACGCTTGAGAAGGATTGAGGAATGAGAGCAAAATTTAACTAATTAAACTAATGCCGATGTTCCATAAGATAAGCAAAAATAGCAAAGGGTTGTTCGTCTGTTATGTTTCCGAGATCGAAAGGGAATGTTTCGAGTAATGTTTCAAGCTCTCTTCAATTGTAACGTTTCGGCTATGTTTCACTAAATAAGTTTTCAAGTGCTACATTTCTGTAATGAAACAGAAACGTTTCTAGTTAATGTTTCAAATGTTTAGTAAAACATCTCATTTGCAACGTTTCATTTACGTTTCGTGTTTAGTGGGTATATTGTTTTTACACTTGGTTAAATTTAATTTTTTTAAAGTTTTCCAGAAGGTGTCTGATTCTTGTTCAAATTTATAAGTTAAAAAAGCCTTCTTTTCAGATTTAATTGCATTATTCATAAAATTACACATTTCTTTATATTCATTAAACGATTCCTGAATAAGAGCAGATTTATATTTTTTATATGCAGCATTTTTAAGTTTAATCATAAATTTTAGATTAGATGTTAACCAAGGAGCAGAGGCTTTAGTAATTCTCGCCGTTTTCTTAGGTGCATGGAAATAAAAAACGTCAACGATATTTTCATTCCAAAAATTTATCATATCATTTACACTATCGAACGAAGATATAAAATCCCTGTTAACAGAGAGTAAATCTTTTAAAAAGTTGTTGTAATTGAAATGAGAAGAATCATAATAGTCATAATAATTCTTATTTATATTTCAATAATTCCGTTAAAATTGATATTTGTATCTGCCAATAACTATTTTTATTTCTTAAATATGGCCAAAAACAATATTTAGTATCGAGTTACTTTAAATATTTTCATAAAAAGAACAAAAGGAATGCGCAACGCTGTTTTTGTAAAATTTAGTACAAAAGGCATGCAACCAGAATGAGAAGTAGTTATTAATGATCATGGAATTAATGGTTTCTCCATGATTCGACAGTTGGTAGAAAGTATAATTGGTTGCATAAAATCATGCATTTTATGATATGGAGTTCCATTTATTTTTAATATTTTTTAAATATATTGACCAAACGAAGTAGGTATCGAAGTGCCCCAGACCCCAGAGAATATTACATATAAAGTAAACATGTTTATTTCATATACTTTGAAATAAGTAATTAAAAATAAATTTTACGAAAATACTAAATCAATTTTAAAAGTTAAATCGGTTTTAAGATCTCTGTAGCAAATGTTGAGTCTTTATTTTTAGGTACCTATTTATTGCAAAATTTATTATCGACAGCCAGTTACAATTACATATTGTTAACGATGCTTTTTATATATTTGTTGTCAATATAAAGACAAGTTAATTATACCAATATCCAACATGGAATGCAAAAATATGTGTTTAATTACATAATGGTTTTCATTTAGTTGATATTAAAGAATTATTTGTAATACTTCAAGACAAAAGTTCAGTAACCTGGCATTCATCCGTTAAAAACCAAAAAGTTATTGCCAATAAGTTGATCTTTGCTTCTCGCGGTTTCGGTTTTGGATGGCACCTAGAGAGGGTAACGCCCCTTCGAGACTTTAGGGACAGTTAGCTATGCCGAACAAAATATCTGAACTTTTACCAGCCGGTGCTGCCTGCCTGGTAGTTATTGCGTGGGGCTGGTGCAACGAGGAGAAATCGAATTGTCCGAGCAGTTTTATAAATATATTCGTATATGCGACGCGTTTACATGTACGAGTTTTGTTTATTATTGATAATGCCGGTGTGTGCAGTGCACGCTGTTTTAGGTTCAGCAATCGATATTTTATACTCCAGCATCTCTCGCCCTCACTAAATGAAAACTCTTACCCGAACAGTTGTAGAAGTGTTGTCGAGTTAACATGAGTTAGAGGTTAACTGTAAAATGTAAATCATTACAATAACGTATACATACGATGTTTGACCAGGCAAGTATACCTGATTGTTTCTATTTATGGATTTTAAATTTGCATTTGCAGTTCTTCGCATGTTTTTGAATAAATTGCCTATTGTGAATACCTATCTTTCAATTACTGCATGCTGCTTAAAGCGCCCTATTTTAGGTGTTTATTTTTATCGCAAGAAAGGCCCCTGAGTCCCTGAGATACTTTGAGGTTATAGCAGAACAGACAGAAGCCCCAGCGACCTTATTTTTTGACAGAAATTTACCACTCACAATTCCATCGCCATTCTCTTTTATTTTCCAATTAACGTTAGACATAAAACATTAAAATCCTACAATCCTGTAAGATTAATATTTTACTTGCTACAATAAACATTTTTTGTTGTAATATTCATTGAAGACTAAAGGGTAGAGGTATAATAAACAGTGATTTTATCTCTAATACCTGTAATTAGGAGTTAAATAAACCAGTGAAACTAATTTTTTTCTTGAAAAAATTATAATCAATATGAAACGTTACACCAAATTTTCTTTTTTATGGTCACTTTCTTTAGTGTCTCAGCTCAAAGTGTAAGTGTTTACTAATCCGAAAAAACCTGGTCAGAGAATTTGAGAAAAAAAGATTGAGGACAATTTAGGGGAAGTAAGACAAAATTTGAAAATTCGTGAATCCTAAATGTACAAATATAATAATTTTTGTAGAAAAATATTTTATTTTGTATGTCCATCTGTATCGTCTGTCATCGGACAACGTTAACTATGCCTAATACTGGTATAAATTTATTTATACTCGTACTAAAAGTGACGAGTATTTGTACATCAACATAATTTTTCGTAGGTGTTTCTTAAAGAAAAATGATAATACGCATAAAAAATGTGAAAATGCTATTTAAATTAATTTTTAATTTATAAAATATTTTATAAAAAATGAGACAGGAATTACTGAGGCGTTTGAGAAATTCGTAGAGCAAAATCAATAAAGGGGTTATTGATTTTAGCACCAACTTAAAAAATATACCTACCCGATGGTATGGAAAAGTATTTATGAAATAAAACTTTAAGCCTACCTACTTTTATAATGGTATAATTAAATATAATTGTGTAGAAGTATTTCAGTGAATCAATATTGATTTCTTGGAAGTTATTTGCAAGTAATTGTTTTACATACATATTCTTCGTATCGATAATTGTAGGAAATGAATAGAATTTCCCAAAATTTTAATCATCTGATGGTTTTATCAAGAAATAAAAAACATTAATTTCTAGCAGCTAACTTATGTAATGGCAATAAGAATCATAAATTATGGCGACTATACGACTGCAATACATTTATTTTTACTTATTGTAATTAATTAAATTTGATGATTAGTCTTATTACCTATTAATATTTTTAAACAAATCTGCCTAGTTTTATTTAATAATTGTAAAACGATAATATTTTGAATTTTCAAAATATCTTCTCATTTCTTTTTGTTATAAAAACAATGTTTTTCCTCTTTTTAAAATTATTTAAAACTTTATTTAATACTAATGCTGTCTAAGTTCACTTTTGTGAAATATATTATGGAGATAACTAATAAAATGTATTCCCAGTAGTGTCATTCAAGCATCTAAATTATATTTTGAAAAGTATCAGCCATATTTTTTTCAGAATCTGATAACGTGACGTTTATTTACACCCTTAAAAATGTTTTCGTACTAATTTTCATGTTTTATACCTACCCATTCAAATTAAAGAATGCAATAATTTTTGGTGTATTTTAGTTTTTTCTGAATTAATGTCGAAAGAAGGGTAATTTACACATTTTCTTACAGTTAATTTTTGATATTAAAGAAAAGGAGCCAAGTTAAGTCGTCTATGTTACCAAATTTCAGATAAAAAAATTGTTGATACAGTTTTACAAACCTTATTTTTATTGCAATATTAAGGAAGTTATAGTTTGCAAAATCTTAGTGTCTACTTATTTAGTTAAAACCTCATTTGCTGTATATTTTATTTAGATCTATTTTTCCTGATTTAAATACACATGGAATGTTTGAAGCATCGTTTAGTTAGGTTAGTCACACAAGATAAAATTATATGGGTTGACATGCAAAATTAAAGCATATTTTAATTTCAAATCACTTTCCTTATCTAACTTCCTTTTATTGTTTTATTCCTTAGTTAAGCGATTAGTTTTCGTATATATCTTGCATTCTTCTCACGTAAGTAAATATTTTATTGAGATAATTAATTAAATAAATATCTTTTAAATATTTTATTAGGCTAGTGAACAGAAGGTGCCTATAATAAATTAAAATTACCTGAATCACACCAAATTCCGCATTGCTGCACTGTACTGCTAGGCCATTTGTTGACACTGAATTTATGGCCGAGTCGCCCAGTGCGGTTGTGTTTGTGCCGCGTTTGCCCGCGCGCTCCTTCTTCAACTGGGCGACCAGACTTGTATATGGGTATCGCTAAATAAATATAAGGCCAAGTTTTTCAAAAATTTCAGTGCCGAGCTGCTGCGTCAGCGACTGAACCTACTGCCAACCTCCTGGTTCTTCAATTGAGATCGGAAATACTATTTTATTCGGCACTCAGCATTATCAATGTTTTCTTCTCCACTATTTTCATGAATTTTTGTCTTGATTTTTTTTCCAATGCTGCTATTTAATAAAACTAGTGGATAGATCATTCGATTTTGCAACAAAAACTTAACATATTTGACTTTAGCGACGATTTACTAACATTTTTTCGGTCATATCTTTATAATAGAACTCGATATGTTAAATTTAACGGTTTGAAATCCAATATTTACGTAGTTACATTGGGGGTTCATCAGGGTCTAAACTTGGGTCCGCTACTCTTTCTAGTATTTATTAACGACCTTAACGATATGCTAAATTGTGAAAAGCTTTTGTATGCTGATGATGTTAAAATCTATACTTCCATCTCTTCAGTCAGCCAGGCCCACAATCTTCAGCAAGATATCAATAAACTTGAAGTCTATTAACATCAAACTTAACATAAATGTGCTATACGATTATTATATTGATTCACAAACACCCGGTCGATACAGTTCTAAGGATTTGCGGGTTATGTTGATAGCATTTCATGCTTTTCACAACATTGATTATATTGTCAAGGTAGCTTTTAAGAAATTAGGATTTATAATAAGAAACAGTAAATCAATTAAAGATCCTAACACTCAAAATATTGCACTATGCTCGGGATCCATATTATTGTTGTTGTTACATATTGAATCTATCCAGAAAAAGTTTCTTTCCTTTAGATCTAATGCAATTTATTCATTTAATTAACCGAATCTTACTCAGGACCGAATATGCTGGACCTTATTTATTATATTTACTGCATACCAAAGATAACCCTAACTTTACAATTGTGAACTTATCTCTATAATAGATGACCTAATGGAATGTGAAGTTGGTAGACAATGTTACAATCTGGTAAAAAAATTCCGAAATTTGGAAACATTCTCAGATCTCACTCAGATTTAGGAGGAAATATACTAAACATGACTTTTATTTAGAGTACATATTTATGTGATTAAGTCATGAACTAGTAAAATTGCCAATGTGCTCAATAATAAGTGAAAATATACTCAATAATTTAAGTACATTCACCACACCAATTATTTACAGTGAAAGGGATTCGAAAATTCGTTAAATAAAATAATTGAAGAGTGCATACGCGACTTCTAGATGAAAGTAAACAATTTTTGTGTACAGTGTGTTGCATTAAAAATTGTAACAGTTTCATGATATTTTCCCAAGCGACGCTGTACTGATACAGTCTTAAATGGAACACCCTGTATAGGGAACAATTTTTTTTTCAGTATATTTAAAAAAACAGCGATCATCCCAAAAATCGCGTAGGTATGTTTATGTTTAACTGTTTTTCCAAAAATTAATTTTTGAAGGCATCAAAGGGCCAGACAACTTTTACAGGTAGCTTCTTCTATAAACTCGAAATTATACGAGTAAAAGTTACCGGGGTGCTGATTTTCGGTGGGAAATCCTAGGCGTAATAGGCTTGCTTTAACCTAATAATTAAAAAATGGCTCTAGTTTTCATAAAATGAAGTATAGCTTTTATTACAACAGATGCAGGTTTTAAATGCTCTTTTCCTATTTCCAAAATACTTCCAGTATGTCTGCCTTTGGTTAATAAATTAGTAAATAAATTTGCGAAATGTTTGCCTTCTTTTAATTACCTATCATTGATCCAACTTTAATAGTATTTTAGTGAAATATGATACCTTTTTAACGCTTAGTCAATATTACATCTTGACATTAATCTGATTTGTCATTAACAATCGTTAAAAATTTGATTTTAAGAAAAAACAAAATAATGCTTTGTAGAGTTTCGGATGAATCGTTAGTGTCATTTGAGAAAAACTAAAACATTTAAAAAATTTTAACGCCTAGACACTAAACGAATCAACTTTGTGTCTAGGTCGTTTGACCTCTTGTGGCAGTTCCAATTCTACAGGGTTAATAAAATAATTATGGTAACTTACGGTGAAGATTCATTAAATTAGGTCAATTATATCAACCTTTGTTGGATATACTGGACGACACTGTTATTAACATCTTTAGAATTTTGAAATGTATATTGAACTATGTACATCATTTCTAAGATAACAGGTGTTTAATTTTTTTCGAAGGGCCAAGCGTTTCCAAAACATTCATTTCAAGTTCTATTTTAAACACAACATAATCATGAAAATTAAAAAAAATACTGACAGAAATTTTAGATTTTTTTAGAAAATTGAACATTTAACGTCAATGTTTTTTGGATTTTTGATGATTACATTAGGTATACCAAAAAATTTGACTTGTTGAAAAATGGAACATATATTTTTTTTAGGAAGATCATTAGGGATTATGTGTCCTGTTTCCAAAATATTCAGTGGCTCCGAAGTATTCTCTAGAATTCTTATTGTACCACTCAATAAATTTTTCATGAAGTTCCATCAATCTACGTCAAATAAATTCATAGATATTTTTGAGCAAATGT